CGGTTCAGATATAGCTATAGCTCCCATATATATTGTTCATCCGATTTGTTATTTTTGTCCTCCGCAGCCGTAATATGCACTACGTAACAAAAAAATATTTGGGGAAATTTATCAAATGCAGCTCAGAAATACCTTTGCTAAATTTTATCGAGATCGGTTCAGATTTGGATATAGCTCCCATATGTAACTTCGTCCGATTTACCTTTTATTGTAAACCAGACGTCTAATATTTGCCCAAATGAGATGGAATTTGGCACATACGACCGAATTGAGTCTAGAAGCTAGTATGCCAAATTTGGTGAAGATCGGTTCAGATATAGCTATAGCTCCCATATATATTGTTCATCCGATTTGTTGTATTTGCTACCCACAGCCGTAATATGCACTCCGTAACAACGATATTCAGGGAAATATATCAAATACATACAATATATTTGCCAAATTTTATCGAGATCGGTTTAGATTTGGATATAGCTCCCATATATATATAGTTATCTGACTTCAAATTATTTTGCACCAAATGGGCAATACCAGTCCGAATTTAAAAGATACAAATGCTTCGGCATATTTAGTCCTTTGAACTTTAAATTACAATTATAATCATAGCGTGTATAATTAAATTCTTCAATAAAATCTTTTAATTGTTATGTGGATCTCTACAAAATTAGCAAAGTGGTGTAGGGCATCATAAAGTCGGCCCCGCCCGACTTTAGGACTTTCTTTACTGCTTATGTTTATTTTTTCTATGATGTTTGAATTTACGTTAGAATAGAATTTATGCATCTCTGGTACAGCGCATGGTAACAATCTCATTCTAAAACTTTTCCCCGTTATATATTTTGGGTTAAAGTAATGAGAACAAATTTTGGCGTTGTGATCCAAACTGATTCCACAAATCGCATCCATTCCAACCTCTCCGTCTCTTGCTTGGGTACATTAAAAAATGTTTCTTGTCCTCCACTATACTTTTTTTACGAACAATACAGCACCTCATATTCCGTTTGTTTTTATATCACGAAATTAATTACAAATTCGTTTGGTTCATTTTTTTTATCTAAAATGAAGATGTCACCGGGAAAATGCAGAGACTACCAGCTACATTTACAAATGATTACCCATTTTATCGCCATACCTCTTTAAAATGCATATACTTCAAAGGAAAGATCCAATAATGAGAACCCAATAATGTAAACTTTATCCTTCCGTTTTTCTAAAGTAACTGGACTATAAAGAAAAGATATAAGAACGGGTCATAGTAAATCATTACTTACCAGTATTTTCTTTCTCAATTTTTTCTTTAATTTGTATTTCATTTTGCTTTGTTCTTCATTATAAACAAACGCTTTGCAAAAACAGTTTCTGTAACCTACCTTTTCAAATTTCACAGCATAGAGAACAGGGGCCAAATCACCGCAGTCGAAATCGAGTTTACGCGGATCACCGCAGTCGTTATCGAATTGTTTTTACTCGAAGTTGTACAAGATTGGTAGTATGCTATCGAAAACAAAGTATGTAGCATTTCAGAAGAATACAGGTAGATGCATCAACGCTTGGGAGCATTGGTATGTCAAAAAAAAATTTAAATGTTTTTTCAAATATAAGTAGATTTTTATATGCTTTCTTATACTACGTCATTCGGAGGCTATTATAATTCACGTTTTTCAACAATTTTTACAAATTTAAATAATTTTTCATTCAACATTTTCAATTCCAAAATTGGTTTGACAGTTTATTGTCCAAGCAGCTGTGTCGATGTGTCTACCTATATTCTTCTACCATGGTATGCAGTGATTTTTGTGCGGAAAAATGCAAAAAAAAAGAAACTAGAATTTGGTGAAAGTATCAGTTTTATTCTATTTTAAATAAAATCACTTACGCCACTTCAGGCCATGTTATAGGACTAAATTTGTCACGAATATTTTTCCTTATTAATGCCACTTTGTACTCATGCTCTGAGTCCGAAGACGAGGAAAACGAAAAAACACTTGCATTCATAACATATTTGTACACATGTATTTAAACACACTGAAATAATATAAATTTCTCAGAAATAACATAATTTGGTCATAAAAACTTATTTTGAAATTCTCTTTCGCTTCCAACTTTTTATTACCATATGTTAACAGCAATGTAAAAAAAAGTAGTAAATAATTTGCAATCGAATTGGGTGATCCAAAAATTTACAGCGATCGAAATGTTTCTTTAAACGAAACAGAACTCGATGACGAATGCTGTGATTTGGCCCCAGGTTCCCATCTCAGGTTTATGTGTGTACAATGGATTTATAAATATAAATTTTAACAATGAGATGTTGTGAAATAACACCTATGAAAAAATTGTAAGCTTATGATAGCATGACTATACCTTCTGATTCTTTTTTGAAGTAAAAACACAGATGCATACTATTGGTATGTGAATTGTGCACAGGATTTAAAATAAATCCGGTCATGAGGAAGTCTATTTTAGTTGAAAAAAAAGAATGGATTTAGGTCTAAATGGTGCCCCGTTCACAATCAAAATTTGTAGTGTTAATGAAAATTTGTATGTATGAGTCACACCTCCGATGCATGAAGCAAAATCAGACGTGTGCGCGGTTGAGGGACCATGCATATTCTCATTTGTGACGGTTTTTTCCAAGCGAATGGGTGTTAAAGATGTCGGATACTGAGAAGAATTTTTTTTTTTAACTGTTGGAAGTTTACCGTTCGTTTCCAGAACTTTGAGATGTTAAATGTGAAGAATATAAAAACTTTTTCATTCGTTATCGATATTGTCTTTACAGCACGAAATCAAAAACGAAATGAATGCAAGAACCATGTGCGCTGAAACTTCATGATGTCATGCATTTTGACCGTGCTCTGGGCACTAAATATATGCTCTGTTCCAAAACCTGCAAGAATCTACTAGTTTCCCAATTTTTGTTCGATATCATGAAGGTAAAATTGATTATCGTAGAAAAAGTTTTATATTCTTGCAGTTCTGGAACAGACCAAAAGTATATAAGTTAAATGCGTATAAGTTATATGAAATCACTCATACATTTTGGAACTGGGGTACTGAACTACAAACTCTAAATATAGTCCTCCTTCGGATATGAAAAGAACTGGAAGGCAGCAAGTAATAGAATACAACTCAAAAAACAGTAAACAACATATGCTATTAATCCTCTTAAATATTTAACACAATTTTTTTTTTTTTTTTTTTTTTTTTTTTTGAATAGGTTATTGCTATTGAAATTACCCAACGGAAATCGTATTCAACATTAAAGTGGACCTCAGTGCGAATGATAATGCCACATACATACTCCAAGTCGTTTACACGTACACCACGTTATGCGATATTCACATGTGAAACGGATGTGTTAATTTTACTGTGTTGGTAATCATCTACACATGTGCAAATGTGTACGTGTAATAAAGTTATGCTGATTTTTCGCACAAACATAATTATCTTCCCCAAACTAGGCCATTTCTGCAAAGGTCATAAGAATAATTTGTCGCCATAATTGTTATTATTTTCTTCGTCCTCAATTTGAGGTTAGTTTTTAATGCTGACAACGTTTATTTGTATACAGATTGTTTTTTTTTTTTACAGAAAAATTTATGTTTTGTAAGAATCTTCAATGATAATATTACTACAAAAAATACAAACTTTAAAAACATTTGGTTTGATATAATATTACCGATTTCCCCATTTTATTTCTTGCAGGTTCTGGAAGAGAGCAATTGTAAATTGTTCCCTGAGATATTGGTTTTACAGGTGAAGACCTATATATGAGTATACTATATATTTAATACTCTATTTCAAAATTTATGACTTAAGGCGAGATAACATAAGCATAGGCATATTAATTTCAAATTAAAAGGGGAAACGACGGCAGGATTCGAGTGCGGCTCTGGCGTCACTTTATGATATGTCACAAAATATGCCATGCAGACTTTAAGCTGCTTATGTACCCCCACCTTTAGTGATTCATCAACTCCCAGACAAAACGGCTAGAATCTTGTAATTTTGCACGAGGCTGCCAGGTTCGTAGTCGTGTGAAATGGCTGGATTTTTGGAAATTCATACTAAAACGGTACAAAAAGTATTGTAGTACTACAAATTGAATACTTTGTAGTGGACAAACGGAATTAGCTGGTACACTGTAATTTAGAATGAAAAGCACTGCTGAAGTACAGGATAGATGTACCAAAGGGGTTTTAGCAATTCAGACGTAAAGTTTACGAAAATTTTTAAAATTGTACCATTTGGTATTATATGAAGAAATACCCAAAAAAAATTAAATGTGACATGAGAATCAAGGTTGGAAAGAAAATATGATATGTAAAGCTGGTTTTGGAAATGTGTACTAAGTGTGCGAACTATACTTAATTTGGAACGGTATGGTTTAGTGCAAACGGGTGATGCTGGAATTTTGAAATTTTGTATTGGGTTAGTGGCAGGTATGTGATAAAAAAGTGTGTTTTAGAAATGTGTCACTGGTTGTATCTGTGTTTGAGATTTGGCGGTGGTTTTAGAATGCATTCTATATTTGTACAAAAAGTACTAAATTGGGTATAGAGCTGAAATCCTGAAATTTGATATAGATTTCACTGTTGTTGTTAAGATATGGAGATGGTTTTGGAAATGTGTACTATAATTGTTCGAAAATACTAAGTTGGGTAATGGGTGAAGGTATAATGTGGCCAATGTGATCAAATGCTCATATAAATGCACAACATGATAATACATTTTATCACAATAAAAGTTTTCATGCTTTTATGTATTAAAGCATGAATCATTCGTAGTAAAAACTTTTACATTCTTGCAGTGCTGGAACTGACCAATTGAGGTTTTCTTTAATGGCCTGAACAATCAGTTAATTCTAAAACGATATGAAGTGAAACAAACCAAAACGGCCCACTCTTATACAATTATCTAAATGCAACACTGAATTTATATGTTTCATTCACTGAACATACCCAACCGATGTAAACAAATAAGTGTCGCACAAGAACAGCTGTCCATTGTTGTCTTTTCGTTTTCCCCGGTACATGTGTATTTTTGTTTTTGTCTTTCATTTCAATTAAATTTACATTTCTAACAAATAAAAAACAGTGAAAACAACAAAATAATCGCCACCCAAACAACGCCTGTCAATCATCATCATGCAAAAAGAGTAAAACAAACAAAGAAATGCGTTAGCCAGCCGCCCATTACATGCCAGTGAGTGATGATGTTCCCTAGACAAGGTTAATTATTTGTTGCTAAACGTGTATGAAATACAAACAATTAAGTCAATTCATATTAAATTCATTAAAATCAAATAAAAGTATGCTATGTAGTATTATTGTTATTAGAATTTGTATACAAACGGCAAAACACAAAAACAACAAATGGTCGTTTGGTCAGTGGACGTCATGAAACGTATTGCAACGTTCCCGCCGTCGCAGTACACACGAATTAAATACATCAGAGGACGAATGTGGTACTAGAGAAAAGTTTTGCGAGGAGAGACAGAATAATAGACGCAACGCTGCCAAATAAAAAACATTGCATTTGAATATCTTTTGTTCACATGTGGCGATGGTGTGTTTGTGTCATAATTAATGAGCATTTCGTTTTATATCCTCATTCACATTTGTAACGGTATCATGGGTTAGTTGTATCGTTTGTTACAATCGATTTAGTTTGAGAACGTTTTACTATTTACAACTTTCATCAAACTTTTGATATTTATACCCTACACCACATAGTGGTAAAAGTATTAGATCTTTGTGCATTTGTTTGTAACATCGATTTTTGCATGCCATTCCGTCTGTTCATATATTTTTGGGATGAATAGCTCCCATATATCTTCAACCGATTTCCGGTTAATTGTGCACCGAATGAACAATACAAGCCCAACTGGTTTGTAGTACATCCCACCGAATTCAGTCTAGAATCAAATTTGGAGAAAATCGCTTCAAATAAAGCTACTGCTTCCATATATAAGTTTCTTCTGATTTTCCGGTTTTAAGTCCCTCACATTCGTAATATACAGTCGACAAAAATGATAATTGGAACCTGATATCAGATACCGCCCAGAAATACCTCAGTTAAATTTTATCAAGATCGGTTCAGATTTAAATATAGCTCCCATAGATATATTTGTCCGATATCAGGTTTATTATGCACCTAATGGCTAATATAAGCCCAAATGGACTGAATTTTGACAATTACGACTGAATTCATCCTAGAAACCAGTACTTCAAATTTGGTGTAAATCGGTTCAGATATAGCTGTAGCTCCCATGTATATGTTTTATCCGATTTAGGGTTTAATGTCCTTCACAAGCTTAATATGCATTCAATGAATGCCACAACAATGATATTTGGTACCAGATATCAGATATATAAATACCTCTGCTCCATTTTGTTGAACTCGGTTCCGATATATATATATATATATATATATATATTTTTAACATAATCCTTCTCAAAGTGATATCATGCACTCTATAGCAATGTTTTTTCGTATAAAATTACAATTTTTGCATTAAGTTGATAGGTGGTATGATCTACTTCAAATAAAATCTTTTGTTACGGGAACTACTAAATATGCATAGTGGTGTAGAGTATCATATAGTCGGTCCCGCCCGGTTACAGATTTTTACATGAATCAATAACGATTTTTAAGTTATCCCTTGTTAGGATTCATTCCGTCTTTCCACCTCTGTACATCCTTTGCTGGTGTTACATAAAATAAATTCCTTGGCATATGTTGTTAATGATTTTTTCAAATGAATTTACCAAAGAATATTAATAAATAATTGTATCATACCTATTCATGGCTTTAAAATTACTCTATATTTCTCTATTGTTAATACTTCAGTGCTCTTATCGGCGACATTATTCCAAATGCATCAAAACATGACGATTCTTATTTTTTCTCTTTTGGCACGTGTGAGTCTATGGTACATAGACTGTTGATATTTCGAAATCTGTTAGGCAGTTACATCTCTGTGAACAACAGGTATAGTTATAGAGAAACTTTAATTGGTGGTCACTACTCCACCAGAGGGAAAATTAGTTTTTGTCTATGTGCAATGTCCGATTGTGTCCTTTGAAGGGATGCTGTTTGCCTTTCCGGTTGATTATGTTCAGTGATTGTTTTATGAAATTCTTGTTTATGTGCTAATTTTTTTGTCAATATAAAAATTTATTTACCATGTGATCATATTGGTTTAAGCCGTTGTCGTCTTAACTTTAAAAGAACCACTCGGCACAGAAAAAGCTTTGCTAGATGAGAAAATAGTTGAACTTGCTTTATTTTGGTATTTATTTCATGTATGCTAGATGAACCGCATAATCTGCAGTACTGTAAAGGAAACTTCATTAAAAATATTAGAGATAATTATTAGCTAAAACAAAAAGAAACTACTGTTACAAGTGAAACCTCAGCTGTATGAAAAGGGAAGCAGTGGGACGAATAATGCAGAGCTACAATGATTTATTGATTCATTTCGATTAATACTCGGATGTAATTATTATAATGCATAAAAAAATATATTCTAGAGATAGTGAGTCGGCACTTTAGGATTTTCGATTTTTCAATCTTTCACCATTCTGAGTGGAATTTTATATATTATAATTTCCGAAATAATAAACAAAGTTTGAATCAATTTTTATTAAATGTGTCGGCATGGCATGTCCCAATAGTCGGCATACCGATTGTTTTGTTAGCAAAAAATAACATATTTAATAAAATAATTTAATTTTTACTTAATAAAACTGTTTCGACTTTATATAATTAAGTAAATGAGTGCATCGCACTTTTTAAAGATGTCAAACCTCTGCTGAACTTAAGCCAGCTGTTATTCTATCCTGTCCACTGGTTTTCCATACTCATATTTAAGGTTGAAGAGCTTTTCGTTTTTAAATGGTGTGAATAAACACAAATCCATTTATTTTTTCTTAATTAAAATTATTTATTTTAAAATTTTTCAATATTTGGTTAGTTAATTTTTTGTGTATTTTTTGTTAATGTTTTAAAAAGACCCTGGTGAAAATTTGTTAAGCTTAGCATAGTTACGAGTCTTTTAAATTTCGTCTCCACAATTGCTTTCTTAAGAGTATGGATTATGTTGTTAGTTCTGAGGAATCGTAACCGCCAAAAATGTAAATTTTAATAGAATAAATAATTTTTTCTAAGCGAAGTTTTAGACAAAAATAGCTGGCATTATATTTGAAGTAATTTTAAATTTCTTTTTACACTTAGTTATAACATTCTTTATTTAATTGAGTTTAAATATTAATAATGTCGACTAGTGGGGCATACCGAAATTAGGCGCACTTACCCTAATACGTAATCAAATTTCCCACTGAGAAGTTACTGAATTCTTTTGAAGATTTGTCTTTTACTCTACTGCTAGCTTGTTGAAGTCAATAAATGATAATGAGACATGATATTAATATGGTCGTGGATTGGTTTTTAATGCAATCTATATTAAACACGGTATTTAAATGATAAATTAATGCCTTATAGGGAAAATATGACATACCCAAATATTTTTGTCTATATTAAAGCTAGTGTGAAAATGGAATATATCGGTCCACTAGATCAACAATTTTGAAAAATAAATTGGTTTAATGAAAGGTTGTGTAATGTCTCGAAGAAAACTTGGCCAACACTCTTCAGGAAGAGAACAAAGTCGGTCATCTCCATGACTGAATCAGACCCAAAACTTGTTATGGGAATCATCACAGGGCACTGTAAAATAAGTGTCATTATAAGTGGGGTGGTGACGACAAAAATTACTGCAGGGTTTGACAAGTAGAGAAAGAAACAGAAACGATCGAAAACTTGATCTGTCATTGTCCAACTCTCTTCAGTGTGCGGCATAGGCCTATTAGCATGATCTGTCTTCAGTTATCCACAAGACTAGATTGACTAAAGCCGACAATATAATAATTCGTAAATAACAAACAATTTTCAATTTCTGTTTCTCTATATTTTCTCTTTAATTCAGAATGAACACAATGGATCGGCAGGTTTCCAAGTGGAACGCGTTCTTAAACCTATCTTAGATTTGAGCAGAGCAGCCATAGAAAATATTTACCCATTGTTTTTGTCTAGAGAAATTTAAAAATATGCTACCAATTTAAAAAATAATGGCTAGAAAAATGTAAAAACAGTTATCGTTTCTCTTAAATTTTGGAATATGTAGCTTCTTACTTTTGGTACATCACCCAAAAAAGGTACTAGGGAATTTGATGCTGTTTAAATATGAAGATCGAATGTCCATTTCACTTATCTGTGGACTGCTTTAAAAGAAAGTAAACCTACCACTCCATGATATTTTACACTCGTTTGCCTTATCCTTATTCATTTTTATCATCCTAAGAGATAAAACAATGACTCATTGCATAGTTTTAGCCATATCCATCTGTACCTTTGTCTGCAGATTCAATCGCATTTACAATTTGTTATTTTTATATCTACTGCATATCTAAATGTTATGAGTCTTCTTTTGGAAAAATTCAAATCCGTTAAGGCCAATACTGATTCGGCGTTGTCCAATTGAAATTGTTTTAGTGTTGTTGCTATTGTCATTATTAATATGGGGATTCTTGCAGTGTCAGTCTGAGGTGTTTATTTTTGTGCGAATTGTGTGGTGTTTTATTAAATTGTTCTAAAGGGCCCTCTTAGCTTTTAGTTTTTTTCTTGAATTGCATTTATTTCTATTTCTGTTAGCATGACCATGTGTGATCTTGTGCCTGATTGGATAGTTGCTCAACGAAGGGAGTCGTTTACGCTGCCATTGTGCAGTCTTTCGGGAAAATTTGCGTTGTGCGGTTCGAAAAATAAAAAAATCGGAAAGAACAAAAAATACCAAAAAAACATAAATATGCGTTTTATAATTAACGCACACATATAAAAATAAAAATATAAAAAATTTTTGTGAATGAAACAATGATTAAAAACTACATTATTTACAATAGCGTTTGGGTGAAAGCAAATAATATTTTTAAGTGTTAATTTTCGATACAATAAAACTGAGTAAAATCTTCAAATATTCTCCTGTTAGTTACCAATAAATAGCAGTAACAAATACAAAAACAACCAACCAATTAAGGATGTGATTAAATACCTCCGGTTATTAAAATTAAGTCCTAAGTACGCAAATATAAATCTTTTCCACTAAACGTGACCTTGTGCCAATAAGAAATGTTTAATTAACATTATACTGATGACAGACGTTTCCATTCCGTCCTATGAATAATTTCGTGCTCTAGAAACATTATTTTAGTTGGTTTTAATTGATCCCAGAACAAGGAAAATTAATGTAAATATATATTCTAGAGATCTTTAACTACGAAACATCATTTACTTACATAAGTATTTCGGAATATTGGACTGAAGATATTTACTGTGTCTGTTTTTTACAATTCCTGCGATATTTGACAAATAAAATGAAAAAGGTTTTTGATTTATAAGCAGGAAAATAACGCCAACCAAACTTTAAGTAGCATTAGCTCGGTTTGTTTTTGGAAATTTATGCGCGTATTAGTCTTTTATGTATGATTAATTTCGGTCCTTTTTCATGTTACAAACAAATGTGCGACTATCAAATTAATACATATTTAACCTACAGGGTGAGATAAAAAATTGCAACAAATTCAAACACCATACTTTTTACATTTTTTTTTAATTTTATTGAATGAAAGCAAAAAAATATCGGTAATAGCATCAAATTGAATTGGTCACCTTTGGCACGAATGATGATTTGGCACGTAAACACGATCATTTTGTTTGTTTACAAACTGCTGGACAACGAATGTTTTCTCATCGGAGAAAACCAAAATATGCAGTTCACCACTTTCGGCCAAAGGAAGCAACTCTAGCTCTTTTGAGTCTATTTTCTTTCTTTGGCGGTGTAAGTTCTTGCACTTTTTTGAATTTCAGTGGCTTTACACCGAGCTCATTTTTCAATATTTACCGAATGGAATATTGCGATATGTTCAGCTAACGAACCATTTTTCAGCACTGCGACGCGGGTTTCGATCAAGTCGCTTCTTTACTTTTCGAATCGTTTCTGCTGATGTTGATGTTTTCTTCCGTCCACTTACTTAACGTCGGACTACGCTACCAGTACCGGGAAAGATGAATGCAATGCCAGGGTTTTCTTTCAAAAATATGATCAAAACACAAACAAAAGTGGCAGAAGTCGAACACACTCAGAAAAAAATTGTAATCAGCGTGTAGCTCTACTATACTTTTTATTGTACCATGTTTATAACTACAGGAATTTGTATTTGCACCAATGGAATACCGTTCGCTCCGTTGTCCTCGTCAAAGATGTGAAAAAGAAGTGGGTGTTAGAAAAATCAAATCTAAATCATGGTTTTATGGCCACCACCGATTTTTTTAATATTGTTGGTGATATATATTGTATATTGATTAAATATAAACTATATTAGCCCAAACCTAAGCGGAGTGGTTCCCAGTCAACTGATCTCCCACTTGGAAACCAATGGAAGATATCTAAGGCCATCTGGCCGCCAATCTCGAGAATATAAACCTGTTTCAGAAGCTTTAGATATTTAACCGCAAGAACTGTTCCAATAAGTATATTACTGACGTTTGTGTATTCTCGTTGAAATTATTATAGAAATTCAGAATTAAGTTCATCTAAATTGTAGCATTTTTCTCATACCTAGATCCGATTTCCATCTATAGGTTTGCTAAAAGTATCTCCTGACTGGGCAATCGAGCAAAAACAGGCAAGTTTCGAGTGTTTAAATCAATTCCTCTGTCTTTATGATAACAAAATTCTCTGCCGCGAAATCACTGCATTTGCTGTAAGAGTGAAACCTGTTTGGTTTTTAACAATTAACTCCAGGACCTTCGTATTTTCTTTAAATCATATATATATATATGAAAAAAAGACCAGATGCAGGTGGAATCTGTTCCATTCGCCCATACAAAGAAACAGGATCTCAGTATTATGGAACTTAATTGGGAATTACAATTGCGACCATAAAGAGTAAGACATTGTTCTTTTCAGTTCGCTTTTCAAATCACTTGTGATGATCATTAATGCTTGGAATATGAAGTGTGCGCCTGATGTTTTATGGAATAGCGATATTTAGTTATAAAAGTTTCTTGTAAACAATGATAGTCCAAAAATTGTAAACGTCGCAAACGATATAAGCAGAAAAAGTATAAAAATTCATAAACATCTAAAATATTGTAATATCCCATATAATAAATAAATTTCAAGTTGGTTTAGATCGTATTGTTTAAACCTCGCTTGAAACCATCATAACAATGATTGCTTCCATGTGTCACTTTTCAAATTTCAGATCTAGAACAGTTACAGTTTAAAATCTAAGGGCTGGATTTTTGTTCTATGAAATGAAAAATGTTTCTTTCTAAAACATTTCGTATGAAGGTTAAAGGTTCAGTTTGTCGTGCCATGACCATAAACATACAAAATAGTTGTTCAAACCAATCTTAAAAAATTATGTAACACCTCGAAATATTGGTTTCCCATACAGGAAAGTACACCTATCTCTGCAAAAACTTGCAAGCAATCAGCTGATTTGTCAAAACAAACCAATTTGTCCCCCATCAAAAGAATTGAAAGAAAGAAAGCACCACCAATTTTATAAGTTTTAGAAATAAAAAAGGAAATTAGCAATAAAATAATAACACGAGCAATAAAAGAAAGATAGATTTGAAGGGTTCCCCGGAAACTTTAAACGTGTTGCTAATGGCGTTTGTCTAAAAATGTTGGAAATAGTTTTTTATTTTCTTTCTACATACTAATACTTAAGTTTTTCTCATTTTGTAAAGTTGTTCTCCAAAAATAAATTAGTCTTTCTAATTACCAAAAAAAATTTTACAAATTGAAAGCACAAAAAATTTAAACAAACATTAGAAAACATCTGATTGAATTTCGATTAATGAGAAGAAGAAGAGTTGCAAGTGATTGCAAGAAGAAATTTGTCCAGCAACTCTCACTGAAAGAACTGTCAAAATTTCTCTCTCCAACCGCTCTCTTTTGCAGAACTTTCGGGTAACAGACGACTTCCAGTAACAATTGTTACAAATTTTATGATAACCAGACACACCTAATGATGTTAATGTTTTGTGAATTTTTTTTCATATTTTATCGCATGCGATTTTTTCAATTTGACTTGAAATATTGAAGTGTACATTTTGTAATATTTTTTCACCTAACAAAACACGGGTTGGGGTTGGGGTATACAGATTGCAATTATCGCCCGATCCTCATGAAAGTTTTCACAAGGGTAGGGTTAGGCTCAGAAGGGCTAGACCTATTGTTTTCAAAGACGTCCGCAATATATTTATGATTTGAAATGGACCAACAACTAAAAATGTTCCTGATTTTGTAACAAATGGAAATCAAAAGACACGAAATCTCGCATGAAGTTAGAGTTTAAGACAGCGGGTAGAATGGACCACTACTTTTCTGATCACACAAATGAAGTCAATCGAGGAGTATCAAGGACGGAAGAATTCTAGCATTTTGGATGACCATTGGATTATATTTAGCTATAAAATGGACCACAACAACTAACAACACGACGGAGTGCGTAAATATTGGGCAAATGTCCCTGGTCAAAATTCTAAGATTAATATCTAGGCAGTGCTCCGTGACATAATTCCAAAAGCGAAATCTTCCAAAATGTAAATAACAGCTGAATTTGGTTATGGCAACGCTAATCAAAAGTATTAAATGTATTGTCACGTCTAATTGAACATTGACATTTCTCGTTTTTTATAGTTTTTAATACAGATTTTCATAGAACAAGAATTGAGGATTGTTTTGTTGTTGTAAAGATTGAGACAGTTGTACTTTTAGGTCGGCTAGTTGAAGGTCACTGTTTATGAAATGGGTGAAATGATTTGTCATATGGTAGACATGAGTGCGTTAACAATTATAATATGACTATATGAATCACCGTGTTTCTCTCAAAAACACTTATTATTTGCATAGGTTTGCCGTTTTTCGATGTATGTATGATACGTCGGAAAAGTATGTATTATTCATCAAAATTTCTGACATATGTAAACAATACTAGCTCCGCTTTTGTTACGTTGAGCCGAAAAGCCGGAATTTATCGTTCATTATTTTCTTGCCGATTTGCGCTCAAGTTACGCATTGGTTTTTAAGAATTTAAAGATCAAGACGTTTTTATTTTAATAAAATTTAACGTTGAAAATAATTTCCGAATCACAGAACTTTTTATCTTCACAAGAATAATGATCCCCTGGTCGATATATACCAAAGGTGTATTTTTAACCAATTCGCATTGGCTCGTTTTATTTTCCTAAAAAAGCATTAAAGGCGTTTAGAGCAAGTATTCTACTTTAAATTTATAATTTTGGTCAAAGAAGAGACAACGGCGGATAGTAATGTTAATTTTTTCTATCTGAGTTATTTCTAAACAATCTTTTGATTTTTGTATTTCTATTTCAACTCAATTTTTCAAGGGTTATATATCTTTATTAATTATATTCAATTTCTTTTCAGTTCATTTTTAAAATTCTCTTCTCACAAATTCTCATAATAATGCAATGTTGTGATGCAATAAAAAGATAAATAATTGCAACATTTGGCCGCATGCCTCTCGATTGGGCCATATTCCCTTTATAAGTACATCAAATCAAGCCATTCATTGCAAGACGTGAACAAGACGATCTACATTTTCGATTCGACTTCGCAAGTACTGCAAATAATCACATATCCGATGGGATAAGAACAGCGACACGAAGAGGAAAGACCTTTCATAAATTAAAATTGTCAACAAACAAAAACGAAAAAACAGTTCAACGACGACATCTTCGCTGCCACCACAACCTTTATTGTTAGCCAACATTCGAATGTTCAGCTGTTGAATGTCTCATTATTTGAAAAGAATAAACATTCGCGGTCACCGCTGCAACACGTCCCTTGACGCCGCTGTGGCCCTCCTGCGCCAAGAAGTACATGCCATTCGCAGCCGCATTGATAACAAAGACATTTAACATTAATTCGCACAACATAAAATATCTTAAGACTGCCAATTGCAATTTGTTTGCTGTTGCATGTTCTCACAGAAATTTCACCAAATGACGAATAAGTCCCAAAAATACCAACGGCAGACGATACAACAAAGTACCAGACAATCAGAATCTCTTCTACCAATTTACTGCTGCAACAGCGACGTCGAGCCGAGTATATCGTCCGCACTAATTAAATCGTCATTGCGTTGGCCAATTCAATTGTTGTGCCGCATAAATCATTATTGTTGTTATCATCATCGTAATTGCCTTCGTCGTCAATGTCAGACATTCGGACATCTGCTGAGCACACGTATTACTCAGTACCATTGCTGTAACGACTGTAGTGATTTTAATAATTTGAATTTTCACACATTGTTATCACTGCCGATTTTGCTGTCTACCGTCGCTCTCATCGCTAATAGCTGACCATGAATAAACGTACCGTTATAATAATTGTTGCTCTCGTCACCATTCTATGTCTGGCCGTCGGGGGCAATCTTTACTTTATGTACTATCTCAATGCTCAAGATCCAGCACTGTCAAGCACACGAGCTCTCGAGAATGTTATTCGACACAAAATTAGGCATTTGAAACCAGCCTATTTGAATCGAAATCCTCGTTTCTTTATGTATCGCAACAAGTTGTTGAAAAACTATAGACCAGCCTCCTATGAAAATGCTTCAGTATTATGGGACATTGCAAATTGGGTAAGTTTATATATATGGCATACATTATGATATATTTTTTTATTTAGGAAGTTAAAAATTGTAAAAAGTATAGGTTAAAAAGTATCAGTCAGTTTGCTTTCAGATATATACTCTTATATTTTGACTTGCGTTATGATTATTCAAAATGTTGACCTTTAATGTGAGAGGTACCAGTGAGCTAATATTATTTACTCAGCATCTGACTTAAGTCAGATATGAATAATGCGATGTTCTAGGTTTGGACTATATCGACTAATTCCTCCACTTTAAATAGATATGTTTATATTTATTTTCTGTGAAATTATAAAATGTTGGAGAGAGTGGAAAAATTGCTTAGGACAGTGATAACGAAAATACGATACGATAAGATTTAGTGCACGATGTTAAATGGTGATATTTTCTGACTAGATATGACAATAATCCATCCAATGAGAACTCAAAATGTGAAACTCATTGGGCCTGCAATCAGTGATACCGGATATGAAGATTCACTGTAATATGCGGACAATAAAAAATAGTAGAGCTAATTGAAGATTTAGTAAGAAAACAATTCATATCCTTGGAAAATTCTTCCAAATCTAGGAACTGTTATACGGGGGCTATACGATATCATGAGCCCGTATAACGTATCTTCAAACTTGACCTGCCGTTTGCAGGCAAGAGTGATCTGTGCAAAACTTTTGCTTCCTATATTTATTCGTTTTCACTATAGCGTGATTACAACAGACGGATGGACGGACAGGGCCAAATCGCTTTACAATTTGGGCCAAAAACTATGTAACACCTCGAAATTTTGGTTTCCCACACAGGAAAGTATATATGGATCTTCCTATCTCGCCGAGCTGAGTCGATCTAGCTGTGTATGTCCGTCCGTCAGTCCATGTTAATTTGTAATCAAGCTGCAGGTCGGAATTATGGCGCGATCCTCACGAAATTGAAAATGGTGGTGGGGTTATGGTCAGAATAGAATAAAAATTTGAAACTGAAAATTTTCCTGATATTGCAGTTGCTCTTCAGGTTGCAATTATAGACCAATTGACGCGGAAGCTAGCATGAGGCTAGAGCTTAGGGCTAGGCAGAAGCCTTCCAATTCGGATGGTCATCGGAAAATATTTAGTGGGTGAAATAGACTATAACTTTTGTGTTAAATAAAAGTCAAATTTTTCATTAAAGCACGAATATGTTTAATCCCGGCGAAATCACAAATACACGAAAAGGTCAATTCTGGCCGTTACGTAGATGTCGATATTAAATATATCGGATATTTATATAGGGAAATATATACAAAAGAAAGGGATGTTAGATAGAATGCTTATATCTCAAGAATGGCTGGACCGATTTTCACAAATTTTGTCAATTCAAAATACCCTCTTGGCATAAAAGTATAAAATCTAAAAACATCGCATGAAAAGATGTCAATAATGATGTTAATATAGATTGTGTAGTATTTTGTCATATTTTTTATCGCATGCGATTTTTTCAATTCGACTTATAATATTGAAGTGTACATTTTGTAATATTTTTTCACGTTACAACACAGGTTGGGGTTATATGCAGATTCCAATTATCGTCCGATCCTCACGAAAATTTTCATAAGAGTAGGGTTAGGCCAAAAGGGCAATATATTTAAGACCAATACTAAAAGCGTTCCTGATGTTGCAGCCGTTTTAAAGGTCACAATAGAAACCAAAGGAAAGTGTAAAAAAATACCAACATTTCCTTTCTACGGATTGCTCAAATATTGGGCAAATGTCGCTGGTAACATTGCTAAAGGTAAATTATATCTGGGCAGTGATCCATGACATAATTTCAAACGCTAACATATTGTAGTGTTGTAGGGTATCATATGGTCGGCCCCGCACGGCTATAGCCCTTGCTTACTTGTTTTTACAATGTTTTTGTTTGGCAGATTCTAAAATATGGCCTTGGCATATTTGCATAACACGGACGTACGAAACATTTTACAATAGTGGGGAATCTACGTCGAATTTTAGGTAACGCTGTGAAAATTGAACAATTCCCTGTTTTTGTGTTGAAAATACAAACAAATAGTACAAAAATTGGGAATATTCTGAAAATTATCAATTTTTATATCGTTATTAGTGGGTAGATTTAAAGATATGGACCTGACGTACTTGGACAATACAGACGTAGAAAACATTTTACTATAGTGGGGAAGTTGTACGTTTATGTACGCTACGTCGAATTTTATATAACGCTGTAATGTATTTAAAATTGTTAATACGTTTCGTACCAATTCTTTTACATTGTAATTGTTGTATTTCATTGAACTTTCCTTACAGTGGCCTCATGAAAACGAAATATATCCTTTGTATGATTCATCAATGGGTCAACTACTGCAAACTTTGCGCAACGAACCTATAACGAAAGTTAGTATTTTTTTAATGGATACAGTGTATCATTAGCTTAAAATTCAATTTAAATTGTATGTATTTAAAATTTCAGGTAAACAACTTGTCACGCGGCACTCAACTCAAACTATTGATGCGTCTATCCAATCAACAAAAAGTGATTTTCAAGCCCCAGTGGTATCCACGTGACATCGTGATAGACGGTCCAGTGTATGGCGGCAAAGATCGTCACACTGCCGAAGTGTATGCCTTTTATTTGGGTGCAGTTCTAGACTTTCGTTGGACACCAATTGTAGTGGGTCGGGTGGTGAACCTAAAAACTGATATTTATGATAGAGGCGATAGCGAATTGCAAAATACCATGACCATAACACCGGGAGAAAACGAGACGGAACAGTATTGCCTCTTCGGTAAATGTCATTACTGCAACGAGGAAGAGACGGTGTGTGGCGATGAGAATAATAATATTGAGGGGGTGCTTATTTACATTATACCCGGCCAACTGGCCAAACGACGTTCACCTTGGCAAAGGACATACAAAGAGGACAAACGGGCACCCTGGGAAGATGATATGAACTATTGCAAGTAAGTGCAAAATACATATTTCCATGTAAAGTATAAAGATCTAATCTACTCTACAATAGATCTTTGAAGGGCAAAATGGAAAATATACGGCTACTGGATCTTATTGATGTAGCTATATTTGATTACTTGATACAAAATGGTGATAGGCATCACTATGAGACACGCGAAGAGCGAGTAGTTCTCATAGACAATGGCAAAGCCTTTGGTAATCCAAATAAAGATCACTTAGATATTCTGGCACCATTATATCAATGTTGTTTGTAAGTAAAAGATAAAGTACTACATTTAGCCTACAATAATTTCTATCTTTTGAAGATTACGAGCCTCAACATGGGAACGTTTACAGGTATTCTCTGGAGGTGTTCTGACCGAACTCATTGATCGTTTGTCCAAGAACGACGCCCTATATCCTTTGATAACCGACAAACACAAACGTGGTGTAGAACGACGTCTTCTGGTTATCTTTGCAGTTGTTGAATACTGTATGGATCGCGAAGGCGAAAAAATGTTTAAAAACTTATAAAACTAAAAAAAAAAATAGAAATATCGTTGAAATTGAATTTCATCTGTGACTGGTAACAATGATCCGTTTAAAGCATATCATAAGCTAAATATTCAAAAAAAAAAAAAAAAAAAAAAAATTAATTAATTAATTAAGGAAAAAAGACAATTTTATGTAAATCTTTGTATAAAAATCGACGGATTTATTTTATAATTAATGATGTAAAAAGAAACATTTTAGCTAGGACTTATAGTAATGTAATTGTTTGTTCTCTAGATAGTGTATCAATAATGTGTTTTTTTTTTATTATTTAATTATAACTGTAAAGCTATAACAACTGCGTAACCTTTTCATGCGAACTGCGTTTTTCTGCATTGACACATGCACTCATTGAACAATTGTCTTTAAAAAAGTTTTTCCCTTGTTAGCATCAAAACGAAGTAGTTCAACATGAAGTACTCTTTTCGCTATTTTATATTGAAGTAGTTCATGCGGAATTACGTTTGATCGATTTTAAAAAAATGTTAGTGTTTTATGGCAGTACCATTATTGACTTCCCACACATGATATGTCCTTAAATGCACATCTTAATCTATTTGTGCTCAAGTCCTTCCGCTCTCTGTCAATAATGAAAATATATGGGGCCAGTTTTCATTTCGAATGAAACGCATTATTTAAACTTAAATATGTTTTTTTTTTCTATTTCAGTATTTATTATTATTAAAACACAGAGACAAGTCTTAAGTGTACATACTCAAATATATAATATGTAGAATAGAAAATATTTTATTTCATTTCAGTTCATTTTCGTATTTCTAACGAATCTATGTAGCTAGGTTAGGTAGTAAAAATGATAAATAACTATTTTTTACTTTTTACATTTGAAAATGTAAATAGTTTATTAAATTTCTTATTTTGCGCCTTGTTTGAATTGCTCTGAAAAAAGAAGAATAAAATAAAGTATTAAATATTTTTTTCCTTTATATGTTTTTTAAGATTTGTTTTGTGCTGGGGAGAAATTGTTGGTAGTGGATGTTCGGGTGTTTTAGCACTTACGACCCGTAGTAAAACTAGTGAAAGAGAGAATGATTAAATTTGCACTGAGATAAATGCTTTGACCAGAAGGCAACCCTGCTAAAAAGCATGTGCTAACACATCACTCCAGAAAGGGGATCATATAAGAGGAAACAAAAATTCCATTTGTCTCTATATTTTACGATTTTTGAACTATTTTTAAACATGAATGTGGTGCACAATTATCATCAAAACAACACAGATGTGTTGATGACTTAAAAAGCTAAGAGAATTGTGACTAGTGGCCGGGCTCTAGTTCTTAATCAGCCCAGTCAGAATTATGGAAACTAAAACCTAATAAAAAGTCAAAAAAATGTCAGGAGCTGACAACAATGCTACTATTTCAAAGACGAACACAATTTTTGTGGTGTTCTCTTCATTTGCTTTCCAATTTTTACGGGTATGTGAACGGTGGATTTGTATAAATAATGCAATATATTACTTTGTCGCAGGTTCCGGAAAACAAGCAGTATTACTGCTGGTGGCGGTTAGTTTTGCAAGATAAAAAACTGGATTTTAATCTGGAATCGGCATTCTACTATTACGGTAGTGTAGATTTTGTAGTTGAGGAGAGAGGGCACTGACAAAAACTGGTTGCAAAATGTTGCTGTAGCTATTGTCTCGCATCCTATTTGCATCTGAAAAAAATCTGATATATACACCCGATTTGCCACCACTCAAATACTATTAGAAAACGATAGATATTCTTTGCTTAGTTCTTATTTTTATGTAAAATATAAAGTGCTTCCTTTTCTCTATGTCGGTGTTCGAAGACAAGCACAATTGTATTAATTTAAATGGAAAATCAAAAGGACATCAACAAGAAAAAAAACTGCAAAAGTTATTATTCGTTCATTAAAACCTACTTTGGCGTGAATTTGTGCTTTAATTTCCATTCCTTTCGCTTTTTGGGCACCTCCTTGGAATTTCCTGAAATCGACATTTTTATAGTCGAAGTTTGTTTGCACGGGTTTATCTGATGACTGCTGCGGTTTATTCGATGCCATGAATTTTTGCTTTTTGTTTTTATTTTTAAACTTCTGTTTGTATGTAGATGGTTTCTGTTCATCGTCCTCCTGGGAAGGTGCAGTTGAAACGATAGGTTTCTCCTCGGGTGGACCGTCGTCATCATCATCCTCTTGTTTTTCTAATTCAGATACAGATGTTTCGGCTTGCCGCTTAAATTCTTTTTGCTGTTTCAATTCTTTTTTGGTCGGTGGCAAATTAACAAATTTCAGTTTATCATCTGTTGGTGTGACCTGTTCAATTGTTGTTTTTGTTTCCAATTTTGTACGTTTTGAAGTGGAAGCTCCATCAGTAGCTGGGGCAGCCGCTTTCTTTGCCAAAGCTTCTTCATATTTTCTTTTGAGCATAGCCTTAATAGGCAAGTTATACATATCTTCAACTTCTGTTTCTTTTTTAATATCATTGGTATTGATAGGCATCATGGCTGGAGCATCTGGACACAACTGTCTTTTCTTGTTCTCGGCTTCTAGGCGAGCAGCTTCTTCCCGCTTTTCCTTTTCAATCATTGGCAAAACTGTCATGTATCTCTTATATGGCAAGAGTATCTTTCGTTTTTCAGACTGGCGATGGCGTAATATTTCATCATCCTATAAATGAGGAGAAAGAAATAAATTTTGAATTTTTCTTTGTTTCATCAATAACATTGGAATATGTTGAGTTTAGTGACTCAGATCGTTCCACATGTTTTACCATAGATAGTTGAAATATATGACGATCCGAAGTGAAATAATAACTTGTCTACAACTATAATATTGTGATTTACTTACTTCTTCGGAATTTTCCGGAGTATCAAAAACGCTCAAGACTGCCTTCTTCAAAGGATTTGACACAATTAAAGATTCGTCATTAATTTGAACACCTTTTTCTTTGTCAAATGTGAGCAGCGTAGGTAAGTCGTCGCGGAATTCTTCTGCCATTGTTAGATCGTGAGGGCAGTGCAATTTACTGTTATAGTCACAGACATTGGCGTAGACAACACGACTTGGAGCTTCTGCTTGTAAAATAGGCTTGACTAGAGGTTGCTCTCGGGCCTTCAGAATAATTTGATGCAAAGTGTGTAAGTTCTGACGCACCAGTGGTGGAACGGGATTGCAACAAGCCAGTATACCTTGCATTTCACGCGGCAGACTTTCCGAGATTTGCAACATCATATGATTCGGCAACACATAACCGTAACTTTCATCTTCTTGGCGGGCCATAGTATCACGCCATTTGAAAATTTCACTCAAAGCAAATAATTGGCGATTATCAAAAATCCTTTTTGATTTACGGTATATGTCCATATACGATTCAGATGTGATAACGGGTTTCTGGAAACGCTTTTTGCAAATCTCGGTTGAACGTTGATAGATGGAACGCAACAATTGAGGCTTTTGATTTCCCGCTTCTAGCAAATCATTTGTAATGCATTCATATACGTAGATAAGGAAATGAGTGTCCTGTCGGGCATATGCAATAAGCTCTTCGGGCAAAGGACGAATGCGCCAATCTGCCAATTGAAAGGTCTTGTCAACATCTTTATCGCAATAATGCTTCAGCAAATACGCCAGAGAAAGACGCGCAAAATTTAATGCCTTTGCGGCTTGATGAGTGTCGAACATATTAACAATATAAAGTGACAAATCACGTTGTAACCACTCCACATCGAAGTCTGCTCCATGAAAAATCTTCACAATTTTCGGATCAGTAAACACTTCGTTCAATACCCACATTTCGTCCCTTAACTCCAGTGCGTCGAATATGTAATCTTTGTTTCTGGTTGAAATTTGTACCAGACAAGTAATTCCCAAAAACGTGCGATACGAATGATGTTCCACATCCACAGCTATTTCTGATGCTTTTCGCAATTCTTCCAAAGCTTGCAAGAGTTTTGGTTTCGTGTCAATATACATTAAATCGGTTGAATCGACATCCTTTGGCTTCTCAGCTGCTCTCGGTTTTAGCATGTTATCTGGTACTTCAAACTTCATCAGCTCGAACTCGTACGGATGCAAATAACTTACAATATTGCCAGCATCATCATATTCCGGTAAGATTGTTAGGGGTTTGAGAGAATTTGGCTTCTCTTTGAGTCTAGGCATAAATGGTTTATCTGGGCTATTGTCCACAGGAATTTGAAACTTAACTTGAGGTCTGGCAATATTTTTGGCAGTTATTAATCGGGCCGCAAAGGAGGGACTTGCTTCGTTATTCTTCAAATTCCAACTGCCAGCACCTTTGCCTGGGGTGGGTGTAGATGAAATCTGTGACTCCACTACAATTGTCTGTGGGGGTTTCTTTATTCCAGCCAGTTCATCAAGATTTATTTGCAACCGTTCAAACATGGCATCATTGCATTCCAAAAGCATTTCGAACTGCTCATCCGGTTGACGTCGTTGAATGTTGCCTCTCACATTCTCCCTTTTGAGCACGTGCGATATGAGGCCCAAAATGCGGTGGGATTGCTCATCGATTACCCGTCCAAATGTTGGGTAGGCACAATACAAATCTCTCGATGCTCCTTGAGGGAATGAATTGGCACATTTTGTTGCTACCATAATTTCAGTTAGTCCTTTCTAAAAAAAATAAATTACAAGTAGATTGGTCCAAAATACATTTATTTGCAAGTCAAAAAATCCCACCTTTGTAAAGTCTTCTATACTTGCGAAATCACCAATGGGTGTTGACTTAGGTTTTGGCTTTGCCTGTCCATCGGACGACGATGCTCCATCTGCTGAATCCAACGCCATAATTTATAATATCTAAATTTTAAAAAATATCCAATCCAAGGCGTGCGGTGTATGACCAAGTCGCGTGTCTGAAACCAAAATGAAAGACGTCCCCAACGAAACATACAAGAAGGCAAAATGAAATGTCCGATAAAAAATAAACGGAAAGCAAAATCCCCGAGTGGATCCATTGTTTACGAATGAGTGTAATGTATAACGCCGATTAAATCTGTTGTTTACGAATGAGACATGAAGAAAGCGCAATCAGTTGGACACATTCATTAAACGAACCGCGGGACTAACGATTTAGAGTGCGTTTCCTACGTCGATGGCTTATAATTTTTGAACAAAAAAATTATTTTAATTATAACTATTATCTTCTTTGAGAATATCAATTTTCGTCATACACCATATTTGTTTTTATACCCTACAGGGTATTATGTCTTTGTGCATTTGTTTGTAACAGGCAAAAGGAAACGAGATAGACCCATAGTTACTTTGTATGATCTATATAGAATGGCATTCTGAGTCGTTTTAGGTATGTCCGTTTGTCCATGTATTTTTTTTTAAAGTACAGGTTGCATTTATTGCCCGTTCCAGATGAAATTTTACACAAATCATTTATTTGACCCAAGGACGAACCCTATTGAAATTGGGAATAATCGGCCAAAATTTAGATATCTTCGACCGATATATATCTTCGTCCGATTTGCCTTTTATTTTGCGAATAGTATGGAATTTTACAGATACCACCAAATTAGGCCTGAAAATATGTATGCCAAATTTGATCGAAATCGGTTCGGATATAGCTATAGCTCCCATATATACTGTTCATCGGATTTGTCATTTTTGTCCTCTACAACCATAATATGCACTCTGAAATAACGATATTTGGGGACAATGCAGTAATACAAGCCCGAATTGAAAAGGCACAAATGCCTCAAAAAATTGAATAGTAATCCATTCAGATGAGGATATTCCTCTCACATATTAGTTCCTTTGGACTTTAAATTAAAACTATAATCATAGTTGATATGATTTGATACGACTGTATTCCCTATTGGCTGTGTATTACAATTACAAACATTCAGGTTATGTTTATTATTTAAATTGTTGGAAAACGCGTATTATAATAACCACCGAATGACGTCGTATAAGAAAACATAAAAAATCTACTTATATTTGAAAAGACATTTCAAATTTTTTGACATATCAATGTTCCCAAGCGTTGATGAATCTTTGAAATTTTATACGCCCGACATATTTGGGTACCTCTCATATGAATACGTGTGTTTAAATTGTATAGTGAAAAACGTCGACGAAGTGCGTTGAAATTTAGGTAACGTTACGTTAACGTAAAGTTAACTGAATTCATGTTGCCATATTCTATGTGGATAATATGGCAATAACAACAGAATTTATTTCAATAAAAAAACGGATGATGCAAATGTTAATTTCGTATCAAAGAATTGAATTGAGGGGTTATTTCACAAAATCAATTATAACTTCGTTTTATTTCTCTAAACTAAAATAAAGATACCACTGTGAAAAAACACAATGACTACCAGTAAATTTACAAATGATTACTAATTTTATTGCCATATCTTTAAAAAACAAACTTATTCATTTTAAAGGATAGACGTAATTTTAAATACCCGATAATATGAACTTGATCCTCTACTTTCCCTGAAATAAAGTACGATGGATATTAATTTATGTGGGCATGTAAACAATTGCTCCAATGTAGATGTATGTGCAAAAATATGTACATTGAATAAACGAAGTAGAGAGTGTGAAAGAAGTTGCTACATTATTAAACAATTCTATTACATTAAATAATTTGAATACTTATATAAAAAATTGAGTTGCAATTGCAATTTCTAAAAGATAAATTCCACGAGTAAAATTTGAAAACCACCAAATATGTGCTTTATGTATTTCCACCCTTAGTCATCAGCTAGCTTTTTCGTAAAGTAACTAAGAAGCGTAGGGTGAACAAATATTAGGTGTGTCTGGTTACCCTAAAATTTGTAACAATTGTTACAAATTGTTACTGGAAGTCGTCTGTTAACCCGAAAGTTCAGCAAAAGAGAGCGGTTGGAGAGAGAAATTTTGACAGTTCTTTCAGTGAGAGTTTGCAAATTCTTGCTGGACAAATTTCTTCTAGCAATCTCTTGCAACTCTTCTTCTTCTCATTCATCGATATTCAATCAGATGTTTTCTATTGTTTATTTATTTCCTTTTGTGTTTTTAATTTGAAAATATTATTTTGGAATTAACAAGACTAATTGTTTTTGGAGAACAACTTTACAAAATGTGAAAAACATAAATATTAATATGTAATAAGAAAATAAAAGACTATTTCCAACATTTTTATTTAAAAAACTTGTAAAATTAGTATTGGTTCCTTTGTTTTAATTCTCCTTATGAGGGACAAATTGGTTTGTTTTGACAAATCAGCTGATTAGTTGCAAGCTTCTGCAGGAATAGCGCCTGTTTACTTTTCGCATTTTCCTTGCAAAAGAGAATAAAACTACCTTACTCTCTCAGAAAGAAGTACTTAACAACAAGTTAAAATGAGTTTGTATTTTTTAATAACATCGAGTTTTAGATGTGAATTTTTATTTCAACTAATAATATTGGAACAACTCTAGTTTAGTAAAAACTCTTAGATTTTTTCGAAATTTTTTCCAGAGGTAGGCCAAAAAATCAAAAAAGGGCCCATTATGGGGGTCAACAAAATTGTTTCCAAATTATAGCTGACATTCTTACCTTTCCAAAATGCTACAATTTGTGCTAATACCTTTTTCGGTTCCAGAGATATGGGTCTTTCCATCCGCATAACCCGATTCTAACCAGTTCATTAAAATTATGTTTTTAATAAAAAAAAAGTGTTTGTTTCGCGTAGCAGTCGTCGGAATAACAAAAGTTTTCTAAATTTGGCACTTTTTGTAAATAGCCGGCCTTTGGCCGGGGCTTGAGATTTTCTCCTCTTGGTATGTCCTACACCGGATAACGCGAACCAAAGTTTTCTAAATTGGATACCTTTTGTAAGTAGCCGGCCTTCGGCCGGGGCTTGAGATTTTCTCCTCTGGGTATGTCCCACACGGGCTAACGCGAACCAAAGTTTTCTAAATTTGACACTTTTTGTAAATAGCCGGCTTTTGGCCGGGGCTTGAGATTTTCTCCTCTGGGTATGTCCCACACCGGCTAACGCGAACCAAAGTTTTCTAAATTGGATACCTTTTGTAAGTAGCCGGCCTTCGGCCGGGGCTTGAGATTTTCTCCTCTGGGTATGTCCCACACCGGCTAACGCGAACCAAAGTTTTCTAAATTGGATACCTTTTGTAAGTAGCCGGCCTTCGGCCGGGGCTTGAGATTTTCTCCTCTGGGTATGTCCTAAACCGGCTAACGCGAACCAAATTTTTCTAAGTTTGACACTTTTTGTATATAGCCGGCCTTCGGCCGGGGCTTGAGATTTTCTCCTCTGGGTATGTCCCACACGGGCTAACGCGAACCAAAGTTTTCTAAATTTGACATTTTTTGTAAATAGGCGGCCTTCGGCCGGGGCTTGTGATTTACTCCTCTGGGTATGTCCCACACCGGCTAACGCGAACCAAAGTTTTCTAAATTGGATACCTTTTGTAAGTAGCCGGCCTTCGGCCGGGGCTTGAGATTTTCTCCTTTGGGTATGTCCTACACCGGCTAACGCGAACCAAAGATTTTTGAATTTCATTCTTACGCAAAATATACCTTTTTTTATTGTTATGCGGATGGAAAGACCCATATCTCTGGACTCAGTAAAGGTATTAGCACAAATTGAACCTTTTTGGAAAGGTAGAAGTGTCAGCTATAATTTGGCATCAATTTTGTTGTCCCCCATAATGGACCTTTTTTTGACTTTTTGGGGGTTTTATAAAAAATCCGGGTCCAAAAAATCGATAATTTGACTATAACTTCCGAACCGTAACATCTTACCCCATCATGTGATCACTTGTTGGATAGGTATTTCCATAAGCTTTCAATCGATACCCATATTGTCTATATCGGGTAAGTGGATCCGGGTCTAGTCGGGGTCTTGAACCCGGACTTTCGGGTCAAAAATCTGGGGTCCCAGGTCCGTCCCCCAAGAAAAAAATAGTTTCCCGGGATCATTGTTAAAATACCTACCACTGAAAAAATTTTCGAAAAAATTGAAGAGTTTTTACTAAACTAGAGTTAAGCCATAATATTAAATACTAATATAAAAACTAGTTTTCTTTATTTTTCAGACAACACATACAGGGTGAGATAAAAAAACTACAACAAAGTAAAAAGCAAAAATTTCGGAAATATCATCAAATTTTAGAATAAGTTTAGATTTGTTCGAATTGGTCACTTTTAGCACGAATTATGGCCTTCAAACGGCCAATGAAACCGTCACATGCTGCCCGAATGTTGCTCTGCCGTATTTTGGCCCATTCCCGGAGAAGCGCTTGCTTGAGGTGATCGACACTTTGGTATTTTTTAGCGCCAACCTTGATTCCGAAAATACTCCATACACAAAATACTCCGACGGATTGGTATCCGGAGATTTTGGTGGCCATTGTGCGCTGGAAATGAAGCGAGGAACCTCATTTTGTGACCATTCTTGGGTGGCGCGTGCTGAGTCCTGTTGGAATGTCCAAGGTCTGCGGCCAAAATGTTTGCGTGCGCAAACCTTTAATATTTTCGTGATATTATTCGGCATTTATTGTGATGTGGTCAATTAATACGAGCGGAGAGCGACCATCGGTTCTTATGGCGGCCCGCACCATCACCATGGCCAGCGCTTGAGTTCTGGTGTCCAACCGAGGGTGCACATTTTCAGCTGACCTCTTTGGCAAGTAAACACAATAATTTTGTTTGTTTACAAACTGCTGGACAACGAATGTTTTCTCATCGGAGAAAACCAAATTCGGCAGTTCACCACTTTCGGCCAAGCGAAGCAACTCTTTAGCTCTTTTAAGTCAATTTTCTTTCTGTTGCGGTGCAAGTTCTTGCACTTTTTGGATTTTTAAGGACTTTGCCCCGAGCTCATTTTTCAATATTTGCGAATGGAATATTGCGATACGTTCAGCTCACGAGCCATTTTTCGGCCACTGCGACGCGGATCTCGATCAAGTCGCTTCTTTTCTTTTCGAACCATTTCTGCTGATGTTGCTGTTTTCTTCCGTCCACTTTGATGGTATGAGACACAAAAGATTTATTAACATTTAAATGCTGGATTGCTCTAACGATAGCCACTTGTACTTTTCCAGCCAAATATAAAGAAAACACACTATCACGCTTGAATTCCATCACATATATTTTTTTTCTGGAAAATTTCCACCAAAATGCTTTTGTACGCTTGTAAACAATATAATGAGCTGCCACTTTTTATTCATCTCACCCTGTACATTTACGCAAATATTTCTACAAATGCACTCAATCCGGATTTTTATAAACCTAATCCAAACCCGCTATAAATCTTGATAAATTTATCCAGATTAGGAACAAAAGTCCCGATGCTGTTCAAATTCGAAAAAAAAATTAAGCCCAGTTTAATAACAACTTAACTTTAATTGCACTTTTATTATTCCTTATATATTTCGATTACAAACTTTTTACTAAATGCTGTTTGCAATATTCCCACATGAATAAAGCTCCGGTTACATGTACATTTAATGAACGTACTTGACCAAATTGGGGTATTTCGACCGCATGATCTAAAAGACCTAGCAATGTAGGGGGTATGCCGTCCTTTTCATGGCTGTAAGAAAAAAATGAAATATATTTTTAAATAGATTACATATTTAGTGGGATTGTAAGGAATCAAAGAATGATATTTACAGACTGCGGTAAAAAAAAAATTCTCATTGGAATTTTTCGCATTCAAAACGCATTATACTTTTTGAAAGGAAAACTTCGTTTTATACAGTAAATACTTTATAGTTGAGTCGAACAACCATTACGCCCCGTTATTACAATGAGGCATTCACAACAAAAGATGTCATTAGATCTCAGTATGCATTATTTTAACAAATGTTCGTTATGCATTTTTTCAGCTTTTGATATAAGAATTCACCAACAAATTATACATACTTACCCCAAAAGCAATATGCATTTTTCAGGAAATTTGAAGTTTACAAAATTCTCACTATTGCATGTTTGTTCAGCACCCACAACAGCATATCCTTCTCTTTGCTTTTCAATTATGAAATCTCTTAAATCATTTGCTTTAACTTCCATTATGTTAAGAGATTTTTCTGCAGTCATACTGTGAAAACAAAGATAAAACAACAACTATTATTGACAATACATTTTAACTTTGCCGGTAAATTTACCTTAAATTCTTAAAATCATTCTTTTCAACATCTTTCTTGGTATCCATAACAAGATTTTCTATGCCTAAAACATCGCAAGTGCGAGCTATTCCACCGAGATTTGGTAATTTGTCAATAAGACTTGCAATAACAAACATCTGGAATTAAAATTGTCAATATTTTTACACAATTTATTGTAGGGAAACCATACCTGACAATCCGTTTGTTTCGCTGGGTATACCATTAGATTACTTGACTCCAAAACCTCTTTGGAGGGATTCATTTTTCTTTGTACCTGATTACAGACAATATTATTTTCTGAATTATTTTCTACATTTCGATCGACTTTCTTTGAGAACGCTATTTTGCACTTTGAAATCCTTTCTTCTATTTCAAGCGAGTCATTGAAATTTCTAACAATTTCATCATATGGAGCGTTTGTCACATACATAATTAGGTTCCACGCATCAAAGGCGTCATCAAATGTGTACAAATAAAGACGTAGGTCGTTGCAGTGTTCTTCTAATTTGCCTTGAGTTGCTACTTCTATTGATTTCATTAGTTGTGATCTATACGGTATTCTGTTTGAAAATGCATTATTAAAAGAGCGTTAAATAAGAAAATATGGTCAATCTTACTCATGAAATTCTTTCGTCGCTAGAAGATTGAATAAAACCAGCTGTGCAAATAGCCGTGTATGGAAATTAGCACCCATCGTTAGTGCCACCAAATCGGTAATAACTGTGTTTTTGTCCTCATGGTTTAATTGATCGGCATTTCGCATGCTAAATGTAAATAGTGCTGACAAAATTGACACCTGCTGACTTGATGTTAAGCTATGTGCCTGAAATCATACACAAAGGTAAGAATTGCTATTGTATTGCGATTCAGGTGCACCTACCGCCTTTAATTTCTTGAGAAATTCGTCCTTACTTGGTCCTAGGGTTCCCACTATGTACTCATAAAAGTAACTGATATTTAATTGATTATTTTCGTCCAACAGAATTGACCACAACGAGTCCATCAAATCATCAGAGATGAAAGAAATATCTTTATTGGCATTAGCAAGACCTAAAGCTATTCTTATTTTCAGGCGGTGTTCATAGGAATTTGCAAAATATCGCGGTTTCTTTTTCGAAATAAGTTTGTGTTGATTTACTAAATGTAAAATATAGTCTTCACCGCCAAACGTATTTATTTGGTAAAGCCAGAGATTTCTCATTGTATTAATAGGCCTTTCCAAAAATGTCGCTCGATATGATTCCTCAATTCTGCAAAGAGTATTAATTACATGGAAAATAGTTTTGAATACAAATTGTGTAATGGTGGCCAAGTGTTCGGAACATACCTGGAATCCCCCTTCTTAATATCGTCACAGCCATAATTCCACGACTCAAAAATTGGATTTCCTAGAACGCAGGTTTGAGAATAAAATATTAAGGAGGGACGTTTTTCAATTAAACACGTTAAGTATTCCTTAAGGCAGCCTTTCCTCTCTAAATATCTTAGTAACCCGATCCCCAGTGGTCTACTGAATAAAGTTTATTATTGTCATTATTTGATGCTTTATTGGAAATTCCCAACAATGACTTACATTGCGAATTCACCCTCTAATGGTAAAATTTGATCAACTAAATTAGATATGACCCAAGTGCTCAAACTTCTTTGGGTTTCCATGAGCAGGTTGGATAAGCGTTCAATTATATTCCACGTTAATTTATGATTAAAAATGATTCTAAAGGTATCCTCACTTACGTTGTCTAACGATTTTAAATTACGGACGTAGAATGATATGGCGGACAGGAGATGTTGATCATATTCGTTCCTATCGGCAGTGTTACAAGGGAGTTTCAGTTCGTTGTAATCTTCTATCTTTATGTTGTATAGGTCGGTAAATTCTTTAAGGCTCCCATCATATCCAAAATACAAATGAAATGGTAGATATTTCAGCCAACCATGCATTGCAATTGGTAGTTTTTTGAGGAAAGTTATAAATTCTTTGTCCATATAATAGGGACTATTTGTGAGCAATATTTCATAAAAACGTCCGTCGAATAATCTAGCCGTTTCATTGCTCTCCACGGTGTCCACTTTTGAATATAGCTTCTCAAAGACATTGCATTTGTCCGTGGGGTTGCAAAGAGCCTCTACATAGTTAACGTATTCCCGCATATTCATTTTTTCTATGATTCCATCGAAAATCTCATTAGCAATTGCCAGTGCCGACTGTCGAATGTGGTAATCTTGTAGGGCACGTATTCTAGCAGCAATTTTTATTACCTGATCGTATGTAACTCCACGAACAGATTCGTTATTGTAGCTCTTTAAAACCGTCAGTAAATTATGTAACGGCACTGCTTTCCAATTAATCTCACCTATCAACTCATAGACATTGGTCAAATCACCTTGTAAAAATTTCGAAAATTTTTCTCTTTTAAGAAAATAACCTTCGCAATTGTACAGCATATTAGAATTGCAAACTTCCAGAAATTGTCTCAAAACATGACTATTCAGTTCGGAGGAGGTAAATGTGGTTAAAAAGTACTCTATTGACCAACGTATAACCAAACTATTGGTATGACTAAGAATTCTGACAAATAATATATCCATCCATGATGACTGTAGTAGTTTGCCGTTTATAACATCTTTAAGATTATCCAATGATGGCAATATCAAATGGGACTGATTCTCTTCCAAATTCTCCAATATCGTTGCATATATCAACCAATGTCGTTCTATGTTCTGCCAATAATCGGAAGAAAGTAGTATACCCTTTTCTTTCTGTGATTTTATAAAAAATAAGATCATTTTCTTAAGTAAGCAATAGGCAGATTTTCGCTCTTCCCTTTGGCTAGATTTTAATAAGGTCTGTATTGTTGCTATAACAACAGGTTCACAGTATAAATCCGAATTGATGGCACAAAAATCATCAAATAGTTGCATTAGAATATCGACGTGTGTCTTTCGATGAACTGAAATTGTCTTTAAACATTCGAGAAGATCAGTCAAAATGATTTGGATCAATCCGGAATTGTCTTTGTGCATTTTTCTATACAAATGAAGACACGCTATAATGTTCGCCACAAGTTTTCTGTCAACTGTTGTTGGCAATTGTTTTGCTAGATCCACAAAAACCTGAAATTACAAACAAAATTGTTGGGTACGTCATTAATAAAAATAAAGGAATTAACCATGGTAGAAATATTGAAAAATTTGGTTACTAGAACAACATTTTTATAAAGTCATAAATTAATTGTATATTACGGGTATTTCATTTGGATTGATGTAGGGTTGCAAATGTTTATTCAATAATGAGGCTGGGTTTTTGTATTAAAACTACACGAATTCTTAGTCTATATAGCTATTTAAAGATATTCGAACGTTCCCAACGCCACTCATTTCCCACCCCTGCCGACCGAGGGCGTAGGGATCACGTACACAGCATGATCCGCATCATGATGAGTTATCAGCAAGCGTTAGTAATTCCAGCTACAGAAAATAACCTCATCAGCCGGTTAAAAATACAATTATCTAGATGAAATCTATTGATCGTTTAAAGACAAAATTATATTAGATTTTATTGTATCTATATCCATACCAAAATCTACATTATAGTATAAGAGCATAGTTTGAGCGATGTAAGTCAGTATATAAAAATTGATAATATAATGGTTCTAAAATAATGCATTTACATACCTTTGCAGCTACATTTGTTTCGTTGCTGTCATATACATTCAGAGAATATAGAAACTGGTGAATTATTTGAACCACTATCATTAAGTCTTGTTCGGTTTCCTTGTGTGTTTTATAAAAAGCATAAAGACATAGTCCAATATCGAAATTGCTATGGTCTTTATGAACATAACGACGAAGACTAAAGTGTATAAATGGCAATAAATTCTTTAAATTTGAAATGTTTCGATACGATTCAAAATTCTTTTCCAGTATTTCAAAGAGATCGTCGATGCTGACAGTAGTCACTGCTTGCTGTAAGGCATTCACATTTAAATCTGCATTATTGACTTGGTGCATTTGAAATTTGATGAAATTATCGATGTTGTTTTGTTTTTCTTCAACGGTGTGTAAGGATTTTTCATAATTATGATTGCCTTTTTCTGCCCCACTCATTTTGATATTATTCCAAATTAACAAAGTGTATCGGTCCTATTAGGTAGAATAGTGCAAATTGTTACGAATTAAAATCAAAACAAAACAAACGTGGGCTTAAAAAGTAAACATATCGTCGGTGTCACTCTTAAATGTTCCGTACACCAATTTTGACATTTTGAAATATTCTTAATTTCCGGTTAGTTTTGCAATATCTGCTCTAGTTCTAGTGATATCCACTCTCTGACTTATATTTGAAGTATTTTCCAGTTAATATAACTAGTAGATTTGTATGTTTTGCATAAATGCAGTAAACTTTGAAATTAGTTTTTCTCAAAACAAATATATGGCATATGAAATGCTTAAGTATGACATCGAAGGTATATTGATCATCAATCGCAATCGAAATATAAATCGATAATAGGTGTTTAACCGACTTTCAATGTCATGTTCCTACGAGGTTTTCCTTCACTATATCAAAGTAACTGTAAACTTGTAGGTTCATGTAGGCTCTGGAACAGAGTATCAGTATGTCTGTCTCTATTGTTTCTAAAAATAAAAACAAAGAATTTTCAAAATCAATAATGAATTTTCAATGGAATTTCAAAAGTAAAAGGTTTCGATCATATTTTTAAAAGAATAGCCAGGCATTTCATTCTTTTGAACATTTTAAATCGTGTGAGGAAATATATTAAATAAACTATATATACTTGTTGAATCTAAAAAGTCCGACAAAAAAAAAACAGAATTGTTTCATATTTTGTATTTGAAATTCGTAATGGGTAATACAAGCTGTGGGAACAAATTGTCTATGCAGGTCCATGTCTTCGTATATCCCACATATAACGGTACCTCCCTTTATTCGATATTTTGATGATTTTACCGACATCGGAATTGTTTAAGATTTCGTATTTGAAGTTCGGAGTTAGCAGAACCATATCTTGATATAGCCTCCATATAACTGTTTTCATTTAGGCAGTTATTTTTTGACGGATTTTTCGACAATTTTCAAGTTCCTTCCAAATGGTGGAGGGTATATTTTTATTATTAGCTGCCTTATATTTATTTTTTTCATTTTTGAGATGAGCTATAAAGCGCGAGACATGAATGAAATGCATGAATTTTGCAGGTTCTTGAACAGCGCATATGTGTAGTCTGACATTTTCTATATAAGAGCTTTCTGTAGTAGACACAAAAAGATCATATGTAAAAATTGTAAGACTACAAAATGTTTTTCTACATCATAGAAGAAAAGTAGGTAATCGTATTTAAAATTGTCCGCATTCGTGAAGTTCTGGGACAGAGCAATACTTTCTTCCATTATTGTGAAGCAGGCCGCTAATCTGAAAGACTTATATGTAATAACAAATTTACCTAAAATTGGGAAGTTGCCTTTGCCCTTAAGCGATATTTAGCTTACAATCGATCGCTATCGATGATTGCCTGTTGTTGTTTATGAACTGTAATCGATTTCTTTGTATTCGAATTAAATCGACAATCATTAACTTCTACAACATAAATTCACGAAAGAAGTCTTCTTTTTATTAAAAATTGGAATTGTCGTTTATTTACTCGCAAAAATTAAGAAAAATATATAAATACGAGGATTATACTCACTATATTCACATTCAATTAAAATTCAAGAGTGTAGATTTGGGTTTGCTGTTGTTTTTGCAGAATGAAACAATGACGTAAAACCAAAAAGAGTCATGAAGAAGAAGCATATGTAAAAAATTAGCAAAATAAATAGAGAAACCCTACAGTTTCGTTAAACAAATGCATTTTTCTAACAGAGAAAAAGTGGCAAATTATAATTTTCAATACGATAAGTAGACTCGTACACCCGAGTGGAGATGAGTAGACCCAGCACCGACTCGGACAGCTCGGAGGAGTTTTTCGATGCAGAGGACTCCACACCTAATCGTCTGTCAACATTAAGGTAATGATTATGATTGTGACAAAGTAATAGAATCATTGTGCGACATCACACATCTATTTTTTTCATGCCTGAGTGATTTAGTGAGGGTATGAATGTGTGTCAATTTATTTAATTACCTTCAAATGATGTATATACGCACTTCTGTGATTGTGATTTAATAATGTTGCCAACAGCAACTTGCACAGATATACGAAGTTTAAAATGATTAAAGAAAAATAACAATAACAAGATCTGTTAATTGAATGTTTCAGCCGCAAGTCCATTATTGACGCAACACAAACTCCGCAAGAATTTATATATCCTGATCCAGCTGTTAGAGTACAAGCCTCTTCGGACAGCGATGCCACACCCATAGGAGCAGTTACACCAGCCACCAGTAGTCCCAGCAGTAGTTTGAGTGCCCGCGGTAACAAGCAAGAAGTTTTCGTAGAACCAAAGCCAGTGCAGGCCACTGTAAGTAATAACAACAATTTGCAAAACAACATATGACGTAGAGATTTTAACATTCATAAATAAGATGCAGCTATGGGTAGAGATGTAGCACAATAAGTTTCCAAAGTTTTGTCGTATATTTAAATAGTGGCTATTGTGTAATAGTTAACAAACAATATTGCTTCCTTCAAAACATACAACTTATACAAGATTCATAAGTTTCGATTTAAAAATATAACAGACTAAGTTTTGTGAAACCGGAAATCGGCATCGTTTTTCGATATGCATAATTTTTTAATGTTTATATATAGAAATATTTGCCTGCAAGAATCTACTAATTTTCGATATATAAAGGGAAAATTGGTTATCGTAGTAAATTTTTAACATTTTTGCAGTTTTGAAACAAAACAATTCATTTCATGCAAAACGTACCGGTCCCAATTTTTGAATAACTAAACTTATATACACATTGAATTAATTTGTTTTAAAAGGAAACCGATCATAAATTTTAAATATGGAATTGTCTTGACTTCAAAAAAGTAAACTATTATGTTGAAGTACAAAGGGGATTATATTAACATACCATCTATCATAGGTCTAAACTAGTCGTATGGATATACCTTAAATATCATATTTTAAGAATAGCAGTAATTTATTATTGAATTTTTATACTCAACAAAAATATGTTGCGACGGTATTATAAGTAAAATTGATCGTAGACCCATCACCTAGGATAGAAATCATCATATTTTCCATGTTGCAATTATGTCCCCATCCTTACGTGACTATGAACGGAGTAAGAGTAAGCTTCAGAATAAAAATTATGTTTGGAGATGGTCGCAAAATATTCAGAGGTTGAAATGAACCAAAGCCGTGTTTTTTGGATATTTTTTTTATTTTTATTTATTTTCAATGTGTACAGTAACCAAGCCTATAGGCCCATGGACGGTTTCAAAAATTTCTATACATGACTACTCTTAATTAATTAAATACCCTTAATCTTAAAAGTCTTATTTAAAATTAAACATTAAACAAACTAACTAAAAAAGGAAAGTTAACAATGACGGTTCCAAAAGCTTCTATTAACGACTACTCTTAATTTTTGAATTTACGACAGCCAGAAGCCTTAAATTTTGGATGATCATCGGACAACATTAGATGGGTGGAATCATAGGTTTTTGTTTGAAAACAGCACATATATACAGGGTGAGATAAAAAAACTGCAACAAAGTCAAACGACATAATTTTTACTTTTTTTAAATTTTATTGAATGAAAGTAAAACAGGTCGGAAATATCATCAAATTTTAGGATAAGTTTAGATTTGTTCGAATTGGTCAACTTTGGCACGAATTATGGTCTTCAAACCGCCACACGCTGCCCGAGCGTTCATTCCCGGCGAAGGGATTGCTTGAGGTGATCGACACTTTGGTATTTTTTAGTGCCAACCTTGCCTTCCAAAATACTCCAGATCCGGAGATTTTGGTTGACATTGTCCGCTGGAAATGAAGCGAGGAACCTCATTCTGTAACCATTCTTGGGTGGGTGCGATGGTGCTGAGTCCTGTTGGAATATCCAAGGTCTGCGGCCAAAATGTTTGCGTGCCCAAGGCTTTAATACGACCTCCAGAATATTCTGATGCCACGGTCGATTAATACGAGCGGAGAGACATAATCGGCTGTTATGGCGGCCCTCACCATCATTTTTTGAACTTTTTGGAATTTCAATGGCTTTACCAGAGTTCATTTTTCAATATTTTTGTCGAATGGAATATTGCAATATGTTCAGCTCACGAGCCATTTTCGGCCTCTGCGACGCACATAGCTTAAAAAATTCTGCTGCATATAATTGAAGTGTAGGGTATTACAGTTAGTCCCAGCCGTACTGTAATATTTGTTAACTAATTTTTTTCTCTTAATTCGAAAATTTTCATTTGAATTGTTAAATAGTAATTATATGGTCGATTATATGGATAAGATTAATATATTACAATGGAGTAATTCTAATTTCAAGGAAAATTAACCCAATTACAAACTGGTATCATTCGAATTGCGCATGCAAAATGTCGAAAAACAAACCGTGCTAATTGGAATTGGGAATGGAAATTTGCGAATTAAAAATTAATTTGAAATCAAATTCTAAAAATTTAAATGATATGTTATAATATAACAATTTTTTAATGTTCGTTTTAAAAGTTTCGATTCTAATCAAAATAAATTATTCTGCCCGATCGTTTGTTAAACCTTGATTATGTTCACAAATCAATCAAGTCCTGCCGCCACATGTTTTTTAGTCTCTGCTATATTTATCACCAAAATTATACCTTTACGATTTTTTGTTTGCTGTTTTTGTATGTAATTAAATCTTTCTGTGTATACACATTGATTATTCCTTTGATTATTTTTTTTTTCATGTACACCATTCACCTTGTGATTGTCTTCAATCGTGATATAATTTGTCCATCGACATTTCCAAAATCGTATAAAAATCCACAAACATCCAATTGTTGTAACAGTATGGTAGACAGCGTTTTGATGAATTGCGTCAGTGCATGCAAAACGATGAAGACGATAATCCGGGAAATACTTTAACACCTGATTCTCAGGTACCTATATTAACTAGTCGAACATAAATTTTAATTATCTTTAATTTTCTTTTTCTCCATTCGTTCCCATGTTCTTTTTCTTCTGATTCCAATTTGTATAAATAGAACAGCTCCACAGATGGGGTATTTGCAAATCGGCCCACTCACCCTTTTAAGGTGGTCGAAAAAGATGCCATGAGTGTACAGAGCATGACATCGTTGGGACGAGTGGGTCGAATTTTGGCTGGAAGCATAGATCCGTCTTCTATGAGCATTGACCGTGAATATTTTGCAAATACAAGCAGCAGTCAGCAACAGCAACAACTTCAGCAGCAGATTGCTCAGCAACAGCAACGTTTGCAACAAACTCAGCTGACACACAGTGGTTCATCGTCAACCATTAGTAGCATAAAATCTGCAAGTGTACCACCAGGTCCCATAGAAGCTAGCAGTAGTCGAGCATCTGTGCCGTCAAATGCCGCTACGACTTCAATGTCTGAGACCGTGACATCGGCATTTGATAAACCCGTTACCCTTCAGGAGCCCGATGTTATTGCTAGCACTAAATTGGCCCATTCCAAAACTACCGATTCAATAACCTCAAGTGGTCCCATAGCACCACCGCGACGCAAGAAGAAATCGAAAAAGGGGTCGTCAAGTTCATCCGAACATTTTAATATGAATGAGGGCATGCGATTGCAGGCACCAGATACTGATACCGACAGCGACACTCGATCTGTGAAGAGCGTTAGAGATGTTCAGCAGAGACTACGAGACGATTTGGTGAAGGAAATTGAAAAGAGCTGGAATGAAACTAGTTCCTTGCAGAATAGTATGTCCGGTGGTAGTTGCAGTGGGGCTTCTGGCGCACTAAGTGCAGGCACTGGTGGTGGCAATGGTATAACCACATCAGCTACAATGCCAATGACATTAGGTGGTCTTAGTGCCTTAGGCGGTAATGTTTCCTCGGCCTGTTCGTCCGGCAATGTGTCCAGCAACACCGTTGTATCTGCATCAGGCACTTCCCTAAGTCAAATATCAACATGCAATGCACGTCCGGTGACTACAGCGGCCATAGGTGGTTCTATTAATCGTATTTCTCATTCACTGGGTAATAGCTCCACCTCTGTTTATTCCAAACCTAGTCCGTCTAATTCATCAAAAAGTAATTCGGCCCCTGGCCGTGTAAGGTAAGTGTATTTGATTTATTTATTTTTTTTTTGACAATAAAAATAAATTGTAAATGTGTCCCTCTACAGTTCCATCGACCCTTCACAAAGTTTAAATATCTATAAAGCTACCCAAGGTGGCTATGTGGTCAAACCGCGAGATGATCAATCGAATAAGGCTGAAGGTCCCACACAAGAGGAAATTGAACGTATTGAACGTATATTTAATGATAATACTCCTAGACCCAAGTTAGGAACTGGATCGAATAGCTTAGGAAGTGCAACAAGGTGAGTAAATGTTTAAAAAGTGATTACTTCGTACTGATATTTTAAGTTTAAATTTGTTTATACAGAAAAACTTTGTGCTTACATCGTTTTAGTTGTTACTTGCAAATATGGGGATATTTGTGTAATTATGAGTAGCTACTACGGAAACATTTTCAAAAAATTAGTTTTTACGACCATTGACCCTACTATGGAGGGGGTCATATAGTGCTAACATCTTAAATGACTTAGCTTAATTATGGCAATATTTTGAACGAATTGAGAGTAAGCGAGTTAGAGTGCAGAAATGTTTGATTGTCTGTAAAAAAATTGGACCTACTGGTCCCTGTTTATGATTACCTAATTCCATACTATCCATATCGTCCGATTTCATTTTTTTGAAAAGATTTCAGTGGAATGAATTGCAATATTGTTTTACGATTTGGGTAAATTACAATTAGTGACTGTTTTCAAATCTTGTGCAATAAAATGTATATAAAAAGTATTTCGTATTCACTAGAGATAGATAACTAAGGCATTGAAAACACTATTTTGGAACATTCCAAACCTTTAGCATAGCAAGTAACAACAACATTTTAGTTTTTCCTTTAACAAATGAACTTTAGCAACAAATACAAGTACATATGTATTATTTTGTTTTGTTTACAGCAATCTATTCGATATTTTCATTGTTTATAGATTGACAACGTTAGTAAATAAGCCGTGGTGTTTACGAATCAAGTTGGTGTTGTCTTTTTATTATTTTTACAATATTTACATTAGAGCTAAACCTATTGTTGTTTCATTGCAATCATTATAAAAATTGGGTAATTATGATTCAGTTCTCATTTTAGTGGCCATTTCTTCAGACGTTAACAGTGAAATGATGTAGTCTAATAACGAAAATATTGCGAGCACTTTGTAAAATAGAACAAATATGTCATAGGGATAACTTTAATGGATTTTAGTCATTATAACGAGGAGAGAACTATGTTTGGCTTTGGGATTGACGATACTTCATATAACTTTTACTCGCGTTTTTATATCCTACAACACTATAAGTTTGCTAGCTGAAATGAACCAAAAATATTGAAAATTGTACAGATTTTGCAGTTGTTTTACAGGTTGCAATTATAGACCAATCGACGCGGAAGTTAGCATGGGGTTAGAGGGCTGGGCAGAAGTCTTCCAATTTTGATGGTCATTGGGGTTATTATATACAGATTGCAATTATCGTCCGATCCTCACAAAGATTTTCACAGGGGTAGGGTTAGGCTCAGAAGGGCTAGGCCTATTGTTTTCAAAGATGTCCGCAATATATTTGGGGGTTAAAATGGCCTAACAGTTAAAAATGTTCTTGATTTTGCAGCTGTTATAATGGTCATAAATGGAAACCAAAGGACACGAAATCTCTCATGAAGTTTAAGTTTAGGACAGCGGGTTGAATGGACCATTACTTTTGTGTGAAAAAATACTAACATTTCCATTCTACCGAAACGCTGAAAATAACTTACAGTCGATATCCAAAATACACCAAAAGGCCGATTTCGTTGACAAATATAGCCAAATATCGTAGACAAGCAAATCATATAGATGAGTCTAAATTTAGAGAGGGGCCTCTTGCTTTTGGAGATGATCGCAAAATATTTAGTTGTTTAAATGAAACAAAAAAAGATTCCGAACTTTGAAACCATTTGAAACAATTCAGGTGAATAATGTCCCTGATATTATGAAATTTAAATAATTATGGCGAATAATTCCGCTAATATAATCAAAATACCGAATATAGGGAGGTACTGTTATATGTTATAGTACCAATTACGAACTTCAGATACGAAATTTAAATCAATTCCAGTAAAATTTCGCTAAAATCATCAAAATACGGAATATTGGAAGGTATGGCAAAGTTAATATACCCTACCCCACCCAAATGGTGGAGGGTATAAACATGTGGTTGATAACCTTGCATAATGAAAGCCTTTCAAAGGGCTTGTATTTGTTTTGACATGATTAAATATACACATAAAGCTGCGTTGTGACACTTACTTACACTTTTTAAATAGTAGTCTAACTTGGTGACAGTTCTTGACCTAATCTTACAGAATCGACCATGTTGGAGATCACTAAAACTCATGTCTATTGTCTCTTCTAAACGCCTAATATTTTAAGATGTGCCTCATGTAGATTATAGAATTCCTAACAAACACCAGGCTATAAAGATGTTAAAATATATATTTTTTTTGAAGATCAAATATTTTTTATTCAATGGGAACTGAATTGTAAATATAATGAACAGTATTTGTTTCAATCTAAAGTTCATTTAGCTAAAGTAGTTTAACATCGACACATGTGTAAACGTATTATCTATCATCCAATAAAAAATGATTTCGTTTATAATAAACATTAAAATTTGAACTCTTCTGTGATGTGGTTAATTCCAAATAAAAATACAAACCTTTGCTTTGTATGTTGAAATATTGCTGAAACCAATATGGTTAACACATTTGAAATTTATTTCAGATATCCTTCATTGGTATACAGGTCCAGTGGCGATAAGGAACGCCGAAAATCTGCTGGCGATGAAGATGTTCTAAAACAGATGAATATTGATGTGCGCATAAGAACTAATTCGGGTAAGCAATTATCAGATATTGAGATACTTGAACAAGTGCCAGTGACGAATTTAGAGACTGGTGTTACAATACCATTGTCTGAAGTGAAGCCACCACCTGTACCCGAAGGATGGAATCCATTGTCTTTGCATATTCTCAAGTTGACATCACATTTGGAGGTAACACAAAAGGAATCCGACGATGAGAGTGTCATAGGTATACCGCCGAGCAGTGAAGGTCAGCCACAGGAGGAGGATGAGGGCGAGGCCGAAGATGGCAGTCGTCTGAAAAAGAAAACAGCCAAAATAAAACGATTTTTCGGTTCAACAATGCGTAAAACTGTTGATAAGGCAAAATCGCTTGCGTCGGAAGTGTCTCATGCACGACACAAAGAAGATGTGGCTGATATTGTCGATGTTATGAATCCTGAGCAGAATATTAAGATAAAAGCTTCGTCGACCAACAAAGGGCCGTATGAATTTACAAAACTACAACATGTACAGGTATGTTTTTAATATATTTCATACGATTGACAAGATTAGTCGTGATAGTCGTTTTATAATTTTAGCTTCTATAGCTTAGTTTTATGTCAGGTTTGAGAAATTCTGTTCTTGATAGTTTAAGTACACACGATTTGAATAATATTGGTTTACGCAAATGATCAAGAATGGAATCACTCGCACTCAATATGTAACTTCTGCATCGAATAATGCTGCGAAAAAATGCAGAGACATTTAAATAATTGAATTGTTTTTCTAGGACTTATCTGGCGAGCATACAGGCGCAGTTTGGTGTATGAAGTTCAGTTCATGTGGTCGTTTATTGGCAACTGCTGGACAAGATAAAGTACTTCGTATCTGGGTTCTTAAAGATGCATATCCTTTCTTCCAGGTAAAGTTGAGAAAGATTAAAAGCAAAACACTTATATATAACAACAAGCTATTTATGTCTTTAAGGATATGCGAACTAAATACAATGCCGATCAAAAGTCCTCACCAACTCCTTCGCAAGAGTCGTTGGTATCACAACAATCGGCTGAAGATGCCATTGCTATGGCCACTGCTGCAGAGAAATGTACCGGCCCATTTATGCCGAAATCGTTTTGTACCTACAATGGCCATACTTCAGATCTTTTGGATGTCTCGTGGTCGAAGAATTATTTCATACTCTCCAGTTCAATGGACAAAACAGTCAGACTGTGGCATATATCGCGTAAGGAGTGCCTATGTTGCTTTCAACATATTGACTTTGTTACAGCAATTGCATTCCATCCACGCGATGATCGATATTTTCTCAGTGGTAGTTTGGATGGTAAGTTGCGTTTGTGGAATATACCCGACAAAAAGGTGGCCCTGTGGAACGAAGTGGATGGACAGACAAAACTAATCACAGCCGCCAATTTCTGTCAGAATGGCCAGTTTGCTGTTGTTGGTTCCTATGATGGTCGTTGTATCTTCTATAACACCGATCAATTAAAATATCACACACAAATTCACGTACGTTCGACGCGTGGTAAAAATCGCATTGGTCGCAAAATAAGTGGCATAGAACCAATGCCGGGCGAAGATAAAATTCTTGTAACCTCGAATGACAGTAGAGTGAGGCTGTACGATTTGAGAGATTTGAATTTGTCGTGTAAATACAAGGGCTATCTGAATGCATCATCGCAAATAAAGGCCTCGTTTAGTCATGATGGTAAATATATAATAGCTGGATCGGAAAATCAGTGCATCTATATATGGAAGACCAATCATGATTATTCAAAATTGAGTTCGGTAAGTGAAGTAGACACAATTTTATTGTTATTTACATTCATATTATTACATTATTAGGTACGTCGTGATAGAAGTGACTTTTGGGAAGGTATTAAGGCCCACAATGCCACTGTGACTTGTGCAATATTTGCTCCACATCCTGAAGCCATTATTAAACCAGAACCAGATGAAATATCCAATGAAAAGGTAGCTTTTGTAAATCTTTATTTCGCTTTTATCAAAATATAAACGCTCTTTCTTTGTATTTGTAGCAAACCAACAACCAGCCAGATCCTTTGGTTGAACAACATAAAAAGGGTTGCGGTTACGTGATGATTAGTGCCGATTTCAATGGAGCCATTAAGGTTTTTATTAATAAAACAAAACCGAAACACAGCAGCCTACCGTACACGGCAATAGCAGACTAAATGCGTTGGCCAAGGAAACGCCAACTAACCTATTATATTGTAATTCATTCTAAATTGTATGCATTAAAATGCATTCGTGTTTGTCTTTGTTGAATATTTTTTATCTCTTAAATCTTTTCGAAATGTACGTAAACTTACTTGCTTCAACTTATTAAAGTGTGTGTTTGAAGATAGATGAGCCGGATAACTAACTTTAACTTACTTACCGAATTTACAGATAACTTATTCATTTTAAATGTATTTATCTTTTTTCTTTTAATACTGCTGTATTTGTTCGCTCTAACGTATATTGTGTTTTTGTATATTTGTATTTGCTTTGAAGTTTCTTGCGTTTGGTTTTGAGGTGATGAAGGTGTCCGCTTATCAATCGCCAACATGAGCTCATTTTGCTTCATCGTTGTTTTAATTTGACTTTTCAATCAACATGCTTTTAATGTTGTCTAATTGTAGATATGATTTTGACTATAAAAATGCAAAGAAATAAAGCCAGCCTATATTGTCTGTCACAGTATTTTTCGATCATTGTGTAAAATATTAATTAGTTAAACATTGTACGAAAATAAAATTAAAACATTTTTAATTTTTAGTAGCACTGTAAACCTTTTTGTTATATTTGGAATTGGGAGGGTGGTTTGGGATGTTTTATTTCTGGTATCTATTATTATTATTATTATTGGAGTAATTGTGGCGAAAATCTTTAGGAATTTTAAATGTAATATAAACCATCATGGTCTTTTGCAGATTAAAGCGGACTTTACACACTGTGATATGTAGATAAGACTTAGGTCAAGTGCAAATTTGGACAATGCTTGTATCTCCCCTGTAAAAGTTCAAAAATTGTAAAATTAAAGAAAAAACATTCACATTTTCAAAATTGCTCTGTGGTTATATTTATGTCAGACCTAGGGCAGGAGGAATATAAAAAAGTATTAAATCAAAAGATCAACATTTTCCGCCTGAGAATGTTATTTATTGTAACATCCTAACATTTTTATACTCTTCACCATACTATATCCTTCATATACCAAGTTTGTCATTCCGTTTGTACCTTATCGAAATAAGCATTTTAGACCCCACAAAGTATAGATATGTTCAGCATAAAATTTTATGTCGATTTAGTCATATGCGTCCGTTTCTCTATCTGTATTTGAAATGGGACATATACGTCCACGTTTTGATGTAGCCACCATGTAATTGTATCGCCAGATTTAAGGTATTTCGGCTGTTTTAGACATATTTTGGAACAGAATTTGCTGCAAATTGGAGGTTTTCTTCTCCATATGTAAGAAACATTGTTGCAAAGAACTATCCATACAGATCCCAGTTTAGGTATAGCCTCCATATAATTGTACGTCCTGATATTCGGTATTTTGTATTGGTCTATGTCTAAGTATAACCCACATATAATGATACCTCCCTATATTGCGTATTTCGGCGATTTTCGTTTCACTTTTCACCGAAATAATATCAAATTTTGAATTTGGATTTCGCAATGGGTACTACTTACTATAAAGAAAATTTTTTTGCAGATTCACGTCTTCGTATAGCCCCCATATATGGGACCTCACTATATTCGGCATTACTATATATACTATATTCGGCATTTGGATGATTTTAGTGACACTTTTCAGCGGAAATAACTCAAACTTGGTATTTGGAGTTCATTGCCAGATAATAGGGTGTGAAAGTCCACGTTTTTGTATAGCCCCGTAACTATAATACCTGATATTCGATGGATATTCCTTGCAAATGGTGGAGGGTATTAAAGGTTCGGCCCGGCCGAACATAACAGCCTTTTTACTTGCCAAGAATTATAACTCTTAACTCATTATTACTAAAACATTCGATCTAGTGTACAGATGGCATATTTAGGTCCGAGGATATATATAAACATGTGGTTATGTGCTGAGAGTATATGTCTGTTGGAATACCAACCGAACACTTCCTAACTGGTTAAGAACAGAGCACAGATTTGTTCATTTTCACTCGGGACTAAAACGTCGCGAGCGAGCAAACTGCTTTATCATTTTGCCTAAGTCCAGCCTCAAGAAGGTCACCAACGATACTAGATTTAGTTGAGTAGGTTTGTATGGGCATTGAGATAGGTATAGCGTGTCATATGGACCTGTACTACATGCTGGGCAGGTATTCTGCACATTGCTGTCAACCCGGGCCCAATTCGAATTGAGACGGTTGCACCATCCGGATCGTAATTTAGTAAAAACTACTCGCGCTTGTTGGGGCCGCTCTTCAGCTTCGATGGGAGGGGATGGTCTCCGAGTACAGAATTCATATTGATCCATGACTTCTGAGACGGAGTCAGAGTGAATATATTTTAGTCCTGCTTGATAGGCCTTGCAGCATTTTATTTTGCTGTCGAACCGGTAAGGCCTTAACTCTCCTGTTTGAACAATAAGAGCGGGAGCCGAATCGCTCGAAATAGAGTGAGAGTTTGCTTTACGAGTGGAAAACATTATTTGTTTGCCGATTTGAGTGTGCGCGTGTGTGTGAGGCTTCCATGTTGATGTGAACTGTAGGGGAAGAGAGAAAACAAGGAGAAGCATGGACGGTGGATTTTGTTGACAAAAGCAACGATATTATCATATGCTTTGTTGAAATGTTTTCAACGAGTTTGGTCTTGTTTCGTTGGCTGCTGTTGAGAAAATACACGTACATAGAAATACAACAGCGACATGGCAAAAACTAAAGGAGTGCTCGGCAAGAATAGAATCAGCTCGTTTTTCGAACGAATTTTGCTCCAAATCCTTACCGAGGAAAGCATGATTTCTCTTATTCGAGCGAAACTGAAAAAGGAAATTGCTCGTTTTATTTTTTTCTATTGCCATGAGTGCTGCCGCTCGACTTCGAGACTGTATTTCGCAGGTCTGGTTTATAAATATAAGAACAATGATAATAGTTAACCACAACTGTCTGGACTGAAACTATCGCTCTAACTTGTTTAAGTAGTAAGCAACCGTATTAAAATAGAAAATAAAAAAATCAGCACATATTTAGTAATTTATTTATTTGTTATTATTATCTTATTAAATAACTTTAACTTAAGCCAATGAATCACTCGTCTCCAATTCGATTTCTGGTGGTTTTTCAGTTGTCGTTGAATTTGAAAATTCATGATTGGGCTCCACCAATTGTATTCCGCCCGTTCCGACGTCCATACATCCAACAGACCAATTGAACATATTAAAACTTATGAAATTGATGGTTACATTGCCACATGCGTGCAGGGTGTTCAGCTCATGCTGGCCAACACTGTGTATTTGTAAACATCCCGTCAGGGCAATCGCCGGCCAGATGGGAACACAAAACGGTGGTATTCTCCAGGCGGAAAACGTATTTGTATACAAAACGTTATTGTTGAGGCGTACATTTGCTCGTATATTCCACGATTCGGAAAATACCAGCCAGTCGGCACACACTAAAATCAAATATATTTTTATAAAAAGTAAAAAAAAATTAAAAAAATCGGAAAAATTATGAGAACATAATGACCAACATGAAATTGCATTATTCAAGTATTTAATGGAGTCGAATTTTGCACGTATTATCTTACATTTTTGGTGAATATTAAATCGGTTATTGTCAACTTTGGCACAGCACTCACATTGCCATTGCGATAGACACCGACAGTTTTCTTGGAAAAATCTTGATGTCTTCTGCGACATTGCAGTAGTTCTATTAACTTCACAAAACAATTGTTGGAAGCTTGCGAAAAATATGAGAAAACTTATGCACCTCTTGTCGAACATGTTGAATATAGAAATGACTGGATGTAACTGTTTGTTGTAGGCAAATTAAAAATACAGGTAGGCTTTTTTTTGTTTTATAACGGTTTGTAAAATCTTTGCCAAGTTTTGTGTAGTACCCTACGCCACAACGTGGACTTATGAACTTACTCGTTGGTTTGTTGTTTAAAACTAAACGCTCGGATAAAGATAGATCAAACGATTTGGAAACAGCTTTGGAACTAGTGTATAGATGTTTGGAAGGTCAACACTACTAGAATAACAACAATGAACAAGTAAAAAAGAGGTAAGTTCGGCCGGGTCATTTGGAACGAATTTGGCAATTTTCAAAAAAATAAAATCCGTTAAAAATTCTGTTAAAATCTTAGAAATACCGAATGTGACCGTTATATTAGGGTCTATACGACGACGTGGACATGCCATATGTCATAAGTTATTACCATATTCAAATTTAAAAATACCAAAATACCGAAAATAGGGAGGAACTGTTATATGGGGGCTATCGTGGACCTACATGGCCCATTTTCAATATTAAAATTCCAGCAGACATAAAACACATTTGGGTAAAATTTTTATCGACCCACTTCATTTCGCTCAAAAACTAGAGTGATTTCCACAGACGGATAGACGGACAGATGGACGGACATATCTAAATCGACATAGAATTTTATGCTGATCAAGAATATATATACTTTGTGGGGTCTAAAATGTATATTTCGAGGTGTTACAAACGGAATGACAAACTTGATATACCCTCCATACTATGGTGGTGGGTATAAGAACAGGGACAGAGTCTTGAAGATGTGTAGAGTTAGAGGAGGATTATAGCTTCAACTTTAAATCCCGGTTTAGTTTTAGTCACTTTGCACACACATGCATAGAGGATATTAGTTAAGGAGTATCAGTGGGCTGCAACGAATATGAGAAATTGCAATCATCGGTTTTTTACATGATTTTTGTTGATGCAGTCGTTTGGTTTGATCTGAATGAAATTACCGTTTTCACACCGCATCGAATACTCAGTTTGAACCACTTCACTTAAAATCAAAGATGAGTGTTCGAGAGCGTTTGATGTGTTCAGCAACATGAGTTGAACGAACACTTGATTTGAAATAAGGAATCAAAACTGTTTTTGATGTTCAATCGAGTTCGCTCAGCATCATTGTTTATTTAACCCTTCAATCAAGTTGTGGCAGTTTATTTTGTTATTTTGTTGCATGTAGAAACTACACACTATGTAGATAAACGAAAAGGTCTAAGTTTTGTGTGAAAAATCTCGACCAATATCTATCTATATATATATATATATATATATATATAGAAATCAATTGTTGTTCGTTGGTAATCAGTTGAGAACGGCTGAACCGATTTGCATAATTTTTTATACAAACGTTCGTCATACCCCGAGTTAGGGTTTTTAAAGAAAAAAATATTGCCCACGCCCACTTTTACGCACACTATTTCGATTTATCTAAATTACACGAGATACTGTTGACTACGCATCCAACCCTAAGTATTTATTTGGGGGCTAAGGAACTAACCACGCCTACTTTTTAATCTAAATATATCAATATGAATTAAGAGAAAGTTGTGTTAGTTACTACGCTTATAACTCAAGAATCGCTTATCTGATTTTAATTCAGACAAATTCGGAATTGTCTCATGGCAAAAAGTATATAATCCAAACAAATTGCGTAAATTATTTTCATTTTGACTTTTGGAAAGTACAATAATAATGTTATATATTGCATGATTTTTATCCATTTTGACTTGCTATTTTCGAATGTGCATTTGTATTTTTTTAATTCTTATATGATGTGTAGTCTTTTTGGGGA